CTTTTTAGGGAATAGCATAAAAGGGGTCTGAAGTTGGCTAATAAACAGCAGCATAAGCTGACATATCTTAGAAAAGAAATTAATGAAAGTATCAGTAAAAGTAATAACGGAGAAAGCCACCACCGAGCCATTAGAATGTCCACACATCTTCTGGCCCATCCCCACCAAAATGCTATTTGTTTCTATGCCCAGAAAGTTATTTAAAAAACTCGGCTATTGTCTTTGAGCTCAAATTTCAACTTAAGGCAAACAAGGAAGACGGACATGACAGGTCCGTTGTAGGGCGGTTGCGGGGCGGGCGGTATCCGGATGGGCAAGGCCATGGCAACGGTTTCTGATTCTCGAGTAGATTTCGACCAGGGATAATGCTTGGAGCAAGACAGCTGCTCTCGGGACGAAAAATGCTTTGGTAAACAATATTAATGAATAAACGGAGAGAGTGGAGAGCAGCAGGGGCAACAGCAGCAGAAGAAATAACTTCAGCTATGCCAACTGTCTGGCAACATTTTTCAGTTGACACGGCGAAAAATGTAATGGGCAGAAGAAGCGAATACATTTTAAATCAAAAACAACGAATAATATAAATACTTGAAAATTAAAAGAAAGGGAAGAGAATTCCGTTCTGAAAATTTCTTGAAAACTCACTTGAACGTAAAACAAATTTGTATATTTTTGACAGATTTAATTTACTTCTTTAGCTTGGTTTGAAAACGAAAAAACTATACTGGCCGAGACTGGCATTTTCGACATTTGCAAATGGAAACACAATGACCGCTTTCTAATTTTCACGTATTGTTTGTTTTCTCTGCTACTGTTCTTGATGTTGTGATGTTTCCTTGTTGGCTGGCTTTTGCCTGAGCCTCTGAGTAGGTAGCAGTGCGTCCACTTGGCTTACGCCGGCAAAGAGTCGCGCCAACTTTTCCCCGCCCATTAAGGGAGCTGTTTCTCCTTGTAAGTCTAGGTCTACGTGCCAGCGTTGCATCAGCCGCGGTGCAGTTCCCTTTTCTACGCCACCATCAGGCCATCTCCTACTTCTCCGGCAAATCACTCGCTTGTTGCTCTTGACTTCCCGGCGAATTTCTTGGGAAAACTTTTCCCGCATTCGCCGTCCCTTTCCTTTCCTGTCCCATTCTCTCTGTCTGTTCCGTTGGCTCTCCCCGCCCTGTTTTTTTATTTTCTTTTAATCATATTAAATTTTTTTTCAGCTTTTTCATTCTCAGGCTTGGGTTTTCCTTCAGTTTTTCTCTTCTTTGCCTGCCTTTTGGCGCATTTCCCGCTGGTGCTGAGCAACCTGCTGCTGGCTTCTGGGCGCCTGTTTCTGCGCTGGACTTGACCGGCCATCCAACTGGCGAAGCTGTTGCCCACGCTTTGCCTCTTGCCTCTGTTCTTGGACCGCGCTTGTGGAGCCTCGACTAGTGGTCAAGTTTTATTTACACTTGTAGCGCATTGATTTTTTCGTTTTCTTCTACGCTCTTTTTACCGCTGCCCGCTGAGATATGCCTTTGTTTTTAAAGAGCTTTGTGTTTTGCGCTTGTATTTGCATACAGTTTTCTGCATTGCCGTTGCCTTCGCCCTTTCAGCTTTTGGACAGATTTTTAAGATTGGTGGCAAATGGTGCCATGCTTAATTGGGTGCATAAAAAAGTCATGGGCACATAAAATACATTTGAATACCTTTTACTTAAAACTTTAAAACAAAGCGCTGCAAAAATATTGTATAATAGTATAAGAAAAATATTATAAAACAATGTTAACTGTTAAAGAGGAAAATGGGCCCATTCATAAACTAGCATTTAGAAATAACATGAATAGAAAAGGGTTGCGAAGATCTGAGACATAAAGAAACCGGGACCTCAGAGATCCCGTGGCTACCTGATATCTCGTTAACATGCATCAATAATGACAGAATCCCAAGAGCGTCCTCCCCGGCGCACTTCCTTCCCTCTCCCCTTTCGCAAAGTAGAAGTTCCTAGCAGATAGAAACTCTCGAAACACGCTCCACCAAACCACTGGCTGCGAGCGAAGGACGTCGGCCAACTTGCGAGCTCTTAATTAGTAAATGTTGGCCATTATGGCGGATCCTGAGCCGCTCTCCCCCGCCCTCTTGCCACTACAGAACATCTCGAGTAGCAAACAGACCAGAAAGCTCCTGCCCCTCCGCACTAGCATGCTTGGCGTGGCTCGTATATAACCCATACAAAGGGAATTTCATACATTTCATAATTATCAGGCGAGTCAAGAACCCCTTTATCACAAGCAGGCGAACCTACAAGCGCTCTTCCACCCACTACACCCTTTTATGTGCCTGGGAAGCCGAAGGATAACGAAGGATGGTGAAAGACAGAGAGAGAAAGGGCCCAAACACGCCCCCTTCATCGCCAGCGCCGCGTCCTTTCAAGCGCGCTCATTTTCGCGAGCGTAAAAAATTGAGCAAGCAAGGAAAATGCGGAAAAAAGGAGAACATAGCTGCGTCCTGGGACGAAGACATGCGCACGTGTGCCACGAAGCTCGCGCGGAAGGGATGGGAGCGTGGAAAGCCAGCTCGGCAATGAAAATGTAAATTTCCACTCGGCTCCTGCAGCCCCACGCCGGCAGAGGCGGAGGCAGAGGCGCAGCAGCCGCTGTCGCGACTAGACCGCGGCAGGCACGCGCTGCATATGGCGATGTCGAGCAACGGGATCAGCACTGGTGGCTGTGCCCACTCGATTCGAAAATCGAAATAGTTGGAAACTCGATTTGCATAATTTCCAAATAAATCCCTTGAAACGAACGCAATAAGAGGGGCATCCGTTCACCGGGGAGGCACTATTGCCACCCCTTGAATCTGTCCTTTTTTCCCCTTTTGTTGTAAGGTGTAAAAAATGTGTAAACGTATCCTTTATTTGTCCTTTGTCTGAACTGAATTTGCATATGAAAAGCGGCACTTTCGGGCGCTGAATCCCGTGCATTAACATAATCGATGCGCGCATGCGTGCAGTTTTGGATTTGGTTCGCAATTCAATATTATTTCAAACCCTCTGATTGATCAGATCGAAACTCTACCTTGTCAGCCTACCACCATCTCTGCCACGCTAGAAGTAGTTCTATAAATCCACATTTATTTTTTATTCCTGCATGCCTGGTCGCGCGAAGTCTAGAACGAGGCGGACAAAATCGGAATAAAATTCTGAACCGAATCTTTGAGTCGAAAAAACAAGAGTAAAGCTAGCTTCGGTGCAACATGACTGTGCTACTAGGGGCTCCAGAGCAAAGAAACTTTCCGCTCCTTGTGCACAAAGTAAAAATCGATGAAACACAATTACAATTAATTGCGAAAACTAAGCGCTGGAAATAAAGCCCAGACAAACAAGACATAAAATGCAAATTAACAACAAAAAAGAGAGGTGAAAAATGGAAAAATCGTTCTGTTCGTGAAGAGGAGTGTTTTTGAGGGACAAATATATCCATATTGTTTTCAGATACGGCTAAAAGAGTTGCTTGCCTTCTGCTCGCTCCATTTTCCCGTACGCAGTCCCGCTCCTAGGATCCCTGCATCGACCAATGCCTGACTTCGGCTACCAATACACGGCTGACCTCTCCTAATCCATCCGAGCACATATGTGGGCGTGTGTATATACGCGTATCCTGTGTGCCGTATCCTGTCCCATGTACAACAGTATTGGTGAGCGAAAGATTTGCGTCAACAAATCGAAATGTTGCAAAAACGTACTCATATGGCCCACACACAATAACACAGGGGCACAGGCTGACATACACATCCACCCTCCCCTCCACATTCCGTTCGGAATTTCCCACAACCGCCGTTTCCGATTTCCACAAAAATCGCGCCAGCCGGGGTTGGTTTTTCCGAACTTCGCGATGTACATACAAACAATTTTGTTTTTCATTTCTCTTTCGCTCACATGGCCGGGAGGGAGGTGCATATGCACATACACACTCGTATGTACTGCGTATGCTATGTGTGTAGTATATGTGTTGTGTACATGATTTTTTTGTGGCTCTGCGCCAACGCCGAGGACCTGCCTTCCACTCCCCAAGCTCCTATGTACAGGCAGCTCGCATGCATGGCACGGAATAGATAACATATTAAAAACTGAGCACATGCGACAAGGACAGCACCAGTCGTCCTGGCGGCGCTGCGGCAGAGCGCCAGGGCAGCGGCGTTGCAGCGCCGCTGGAAAAGCTTGAAAAGCTGCTCTGCCGCTTTCCCGGGCAGATGAGCAGAAGAGTTGTACATGTGTGGGACACACACACACACAGACACACCCCCCACGTACGTTGGTTGTTTAGGTCTCGTGCGCTCTCTTTCACAACTGTTATCCGTCTCGCTCGCAGCTCTCCCTCTCGCTCACTGGGCCACTTTCCCCCATTCGCTCGTTCGACAGCGGCAGCGGGAAAACCTCAACTCGTAGCTTTTGAATTTCCATAAGCTGGCAAAAAAGGGATATGTTGCCGTCGATGCTGACGTCGACTGCGACGTCGCCGTTTTGGGGCCTGTTAAAAAATGTTACACTCCCGCGCAGTCGGCGGCGCCAACGTGTGACAACAGTGGGCCGTGAGTGAGTGAGTAAACTCCATGTGGGCCAACAGCACGGCTGGGGCGGGTGTGCCTTCAGTTGTTGTTGCAGTTGTCTGGTGGTGGCTATTACTCTCGACGGGCATTCAGAGCCTCCACATGAATATGTGATTGTGTGTGTGCACGAAGGGATGTCGGTGTGCGTGTGTGCGTGTGTGCGGGCGTTCGCTCTTTCGAGCTCCTTTCGCTAGTTTCGTGTCCCTTCGGCTCGCCTCGTTCGCTCGGCTCGTGATCGGCTTCGACTACGCATGAATATGCAAATTTATTTCGTTTACAGATATACAATATACATTTTTTTCGGTGTATGTGACGTGCGAGGACGCATCCGTCCTCGCAGCTGCTGTTGTGATAAGGGAAAATACATATTTTTATATGATGAAGGAGTAAGGACGTCGGCGTCGCTGGCGACGCCGCTGCCTCTGCTGACTCCGCGGCCAGCTTCCAAGCCGATCCGACTAAGCTTCGTCCTGCCGAACGGCACGCCGCATCCTCATGTGAGTCCTCCTTCGCTGGCTCTTCTGTTTGTGGCCCGCTGCTCATACGTGTGCGCGTACGTGGGCGGCTTTGGCCCACGCGCGAAGGGGCGTGGCAACTGGGGTGGCAGTGGGGAGCAGCGCGAGTGTGCCGTCGCTGCCGCCGACGCTGCTGGCGCTTCTGTTGCCTGCCTGCGTCGCTGTGTAGCTGTGTTTTCTGTCGGGCCGGTCGACATCATTTGAATTAGTCGCTTCGTGACGTTTGAACGGTTTGAAACACACACGCGACGCCCACATACGCCGAGAGTTACCCGTTGGCCGCTACCCGTTAACCGATACTATGTTCAGCGCTCGTCTAAAACGCCGCCGCCATTAACTCAAATAATATTTTGATCGAGAAGTATGTTAAATAAAAATTGTGTTCATACGTAATGATAATTAAAAGAGGACCAATATTAAATGTGATTGTAACTTGACTTAAACTATAAAGATTTGAAAAGGATTACAACTTACTTCTTTGTTTGTAAATTGTTTAATCATCCTCATAAAAATGTTTCTTTTATAAAAAGTATGCCGGAACTAGGTTTAAATCAAATTCAGTGCGTTTGTTAGCCAACTTTGATTTTGTGGCTTTAACAACTCCAAGCAAGCTTTAAGTCTCTCTATCAACAAGGAACAAAAAGAATGTCAGAGGTCATAAACCATAGCTGTTTTCACAGTGTTACGGGTATCGCGCCCATAAACAAGAACATGTGCGAAGCGTTTCAAACGAAACCCGAAATCAGTTCTTCGAAAATTGCTGGCAAAATTAAAGGATCGTTATGGCCATATAACCATACAAATGGGCCACAAATTGACCTGTCAGCAGCCATTTAGGGAAAACGCCCAGCCCGAACTACCTGTTCGGCACTCCTTCGCCTGGTCTTGTTTGTTGATATGCTGTATGTGTGTGTCAACATACGATCGCCCACCTGATTATCACCTGCACTGCGCGGCCGAGCAAGGCGAACGTCCTTTGGCCTGAAAGCAGGACGAGTGCGGCAGCCAATGTCAGGCGATCCTGCCCAACCCGACGTACACATGCATGCATCGTATGGTGCGTGATGCGTGGTGTTCGGTGGTGTTCGAGGGTTGCGTGTGTGCGGGGTGTGTGGTGTGTGGTGTGTGGCGAGGGCTGGCTCTGCATTTATTTGCATAGATGTAGCTCAGTTTGTTGCAAACCCTCGACCGGAACGCTCTGTGATCGGGCCACGCGAACCCGCACTCGTTAGCATTTCAATCAAACGTGAATAGCCGTATTTTTGCACTTGTCTGGTGGTAAATGATTGCTGGTGAATAGGATAACGTGCAACAGAAAGAACTGTACGCATACTTGTGTTATACTCAACTTTTTCAAATGGTATGTTGGTCACTTTTGGGATACTTGTTTTTTAATGCAGTACACCTGAAGCTAGATACAGTGTTTGATAAGAGGGAACCTTTTGAAAATACAACTCAGTTTATTTTTATGTACAATACATATCAGAAAATAAGAGTTGTATGTCAAGGGAAACGTTATGTGAATTTTCTAAAAATGCCAAATATATTAGCTTAATAATCAGTGAAAAATAAATACACTTTAAAATTTTACATGCAACCAAGTTGCAACCGCTTTCGATAAAATTAAATATTTTTAAATGCATTCGAGTCTTGAGTCGATTTGGGATCCTTAGCCACCCTCACCTGACTTTCTCATGCCATTAATTAAAAAACTTGACAGTCTCTTCTCGGCGTTCTACTAACTTGCTTTTACCTGTCGCCACTCTAAAGCAAAATAAATAAATAAAAATGTTGTCTCAGCTGCCGCAAACCGCAAATGAGTTACGAGCGAAAAATAAACGCACAAGCCAAAACCCGAGAAAGGCGAGCGCCTAGCAGCTCGCTGCTAATTGCACATTGTTGCATTCGAGCGTGGTTATCCTTTGGCTCTGGTTTCGGTCCCGCAGAAAGTCCTGGCGTGGAGAAGCATGTGTTAATATGCGGTTTCAAGCCCGTCCCCACCACTAACACCTCGGCAACCGGTCCCGAGAAATAGATGCGCGACCCAAAGAGGTAGCAACTACGGCAAATAAAAATGTTTGTTTTGCTGCGCTCCTACCAAAGTTTTTTAATTTTGCCTGCAGAAGCCGGTGTGAGGTGGATCCGGAAGTTTCCTATGCGGACGAAATCAGGCAGCTGGTGACTCTTTTTAAAATTCACACACGCAGCAGGGGCAGCTCGCAGCTTCTGGGAAGAAGGAGTGCGAGCCGTGCCAGACAGACGCTGAATTAATTAGATACGGCGCGCTGGATGTAGCAACATCTCTTTAAATTGACTGTCAGTTCCAGGGCATTCAACCAATTGTCAGCGCTTTACAGAACCTCTATGCTGATCACTTCTCGGTAGATTGAAACCCGAGTCGAAAATCTGCACCATTTATATAGAAATTTGCATGCAAAACCTGGCTTTTTATTCTCCAATATTACCACGTTTGTTATTTCCACTGTGGAGCGCCGGGGAGAAGGTGAAACAAAGCAGAACAACATCCGAAGCAGACGCACGCTGAGACGGCCAGGAGTGGGGCATAAGCCATTATCACACATCACACATCTGTGTGTGATATCCTCGAGGATATGCGGCCTGACACGTAGCAACTGTGATTGCTACACCTTCATGCGTCTGCCGGTGTGTTCTCTTTGCCGTTTCTTGGCTCCTCGCTCGGAAAAATGATATATGCTGCGACTCATTAACATATTATCACTCGGTACACACTTCAGATACGACCCGCAGCATATGTCATGAATACATTATGCCCGGTATTATCCATAAGCCTTGCTTGTCCGCCTCTCGCCTAAAATCTCTCTTTTCCCCGATTGCTCCTTTCCAGAGAAGGGGAGCACCTTGCACGTGACTGGAACGGGGCATGTTAAAGGACGCCAACCAGGAGTTGATTAAACGCCGCCGACTGACGTCGCTCTCCATGAACGACTTTGCAAGTGAGGTGGCGCCTATACAGCTGCCTCTGCCGCTCCAAGCGCCGCTGCCCTTGCCAATGCCGCTCCCGCTCTTGGCCAAGACCCCGAGTAGCGATCACGGCCCCATGCACTCGACGCCCCCGACGACGCCGCCCTCGCCCCCGCCTCTGCCCCTAAACATGAGCCAAGGGGCAGCGGCGGCGGCGGCGGCAGAAACGGTGAGCCCCTCGGAGCACAGTCCGCCGGCCACGCCCCCCGCAGGAGGGGCCCCCGTTGCCAGCGCGGCCCCACAGGACCACTACAGCTTGCGCTGGAACAACCACCAAAACCACATTCTGCGAGCCTTCGACGCCCTGCTGCAGACCAAGACCCTGGTGGACGTGACCCTGGTCTGCGCCGAGACCTCCATCCGCGCCCACAAAATGGTGCTGTCCGCCTGCTCGCCCTTCTTCCAGCGCGTCTTCGCGGAGACGCCCTGCAAGCACCCGGTCATCGTGCTCAAGGACTTCCGGGGCTGGGTGGTGCAGGCCATCGTCGACTTCATGTACCGCGGCGAGATCAGCGTGCCCCAGCAGCGGCTCCAAACGCTCATCCAGGCCGGGGAGTCGCTGCAGGTGCGGGGCCTCGTGGAGAGCTCCGTGCCGGAGCACACGCCCACGCCGGCCGCCTCGCCCGACGACTTCCGAATGCTGGACTCATCGGTGCTGGCCTCCAGCTTCGAGGACGAGTCTCCCTCGATGGTCCGGCCGTCGGCAGCCGGCAAGCTGATGATGCCCGCGGCCCGCCTGTTTGGCAACGCGTCGAACGCCATGGCAGCGCTGAGTCTGCGTCGCAAGCGGGAGCAGGACTGCGAACGCGAGCTCGAGAGCGACCAGGAGCTGGGAGGCTGCTCGCCCATGCCCCGACGCAAGCAGGCACGGCCCCGCCGCCGATCCGGCGATGTTCCCCACGACTTTGCCCTGAACAAGGCCGAAACGGATTCTCTGCAGACTGTGATCAAGAGCGAGCTGCTCGAACGAGGGGAGGGGGACCCTGACGAGCCGCAGGATCAGGACCCCACTCAAACGGATGCGGAGAAGAACAACTCCACTCCAGCGGAGGACTCAGCAGAGCAGGCCAAAGAGAAGCAGTTACTGAAGCCGCAGGAACTCGACAGACCAATCAATCTCAACGACAGCCACCATCAATTCGAGCTCGACGACGAGGACGACGACGACCAGGATCAGGACCAGGACCACGACGAGGAGGAAGAGGAGCAGGACATTGAAGAGCTTATTCACACGACCAACGAGCTGAGGCGACAGGCTGCCGTGGCTGCTGCGAACGCGGCCGCCATGTCGCCCGCCCCCTCCCCCTGTCCCAGCGACGGGCCCGAGGACCTGTGCACCACCAAGAAGACCAAGGACGGAAAGGCCAGCGCCGCCCCCTCCTCCGACGGCGAGTCCAACAACAACAACAGCAGCAAGCTGCAGGACAACAACCAGCGCATAATGCTGTCCCTGAAGGACATCCGCCAGCTGAACGCCAATCCGAACCCAACAGTTATCCACACGCCCACCAGCTGCTCTGGGGCGAACAACGGACTCCTCAGCTTTCCACCGCCGGGACTCCGGCCACCGGGCCTCCCGAACAGTCCGCCCTGCCACATGGAGGCGTTGGAGGCCCAGATGCACGCTGCCGCGGCCGCGGCTGTGGCGGCTGCCGGTGGCGGGGAGCATCCGTTCCACCACATGGAGCACCAGATGGAGATGTCCTTGGCTGCGGCCGCTGCAGCGGCTGCAATGCATCAGCGGGAGCCACGAGACCCCCCGCGATCCGCGCGACCACAACGCTTTCGCCAGCAACATGCTGGGGCCAATGGGGATGCCCCCTTTGGAGGACACAACGGAGGGCACTCGGGCAACAGCGGCCCGGGAAGCGGATGTCCTGGACAGGCTGCGCACGAACGCCTCGAAGAGAGCATGAACCGACTGAGCAAGGAGCTCGGGAAAGAGTTCGGCAAGGACTTTGGCAAGGAGTTCGGGAAGGAATTCGCCCCGGCCTCGCCGATGAGTTTGCCCGGGCACTTCAATGCACCGGATGGACCTCCGCATCCGCATCCGCCATCGCCACTGCCCTTTCCTGGGATGTCCTCTGCGATGACGCTGACGCCGCCGCACAGTAAGTACCCAGCTTGAATCTAATTTCGTCCGACTTCGCCCACAGGTCACTGGGTTATCAGTCGGGTGAAGAGTCTGCACCCAGCGGAAGTCTTTAATAACACAAGCCCACTTCCATCTGCCCACGTTAAAAAGCCTTTCCTGCCCAATAAACACCCACGGAAGTCTTTTCGGGATGTTTGCCAGTCCTTTTTGCGGCTTTCGCTCGCCTAAGCGGTTGCAATGCAACATGTGGCCTCTCTGCGACATCAAAGAGTCGTCAAGTGACGAGTATCCTTGGAGAAGTGCTCTTGCACCGCCACCTGAAGCTGCAGAAAAGCCCCTAAGCACATTAAGGCTTCTCTGGCCCCATTCACTGTGTGTATGACCAGCCAAGAACTCGATACCGAGCAGGAATTAGAGCGGTTCCGTTGATAGCATACCTTTCAGTCCACCGCCTTTATTTCGCTGACTAATTAAGTCATAAAAAGTTTGCGACGTTGACAGCTCATAAGAAATATGGAAAGGCAATCGTGAAGGCAATAGGCTCCTAATAACTCGCCAGTTTGGCAGGCCCCCGTCTCCTCCCTGCCGACGACGGCGACGCCGGGAAGGCCTTTGCGGTTGAGTCCCAGGTGGAGCTGCAACTGCATTCGGGGTAAATTCAATTGCGTTTTATATGATTTTTATATTAATGTCACTCGGAGTCAGGCGAAACAAACGCAAACACAAATTGAGGTGCAAAGGTCGGAAACAGGGCGGGTTGGGCTGGCTTCCGCTGTTGCGTGCAGAAAGCGCAGAAAGCGCAGGGCATTCATGTTGTGTCTCTCCGCCATGTGAGTTTCGGTAGGGGTTGAGTTCGAACTGTCAGCAGACGTTTAGCCAAATGACTTTTAAGTTGCTCGCCTGTCGAGCAGGAGCCAGCACTCCTTCGCCCCAGAATATCCTCCGCCTGATGCGCGCCCTCCTGGCCATGTGTTGTGTTTAAAGTATGCCAAAGCGCGCACAACCTAAACCTTTTGGCAAACAACTTTGGCAGCGTCGGCGGCATAAATAAAAATACGAAGGCGACGTCTCGCGGTCGGGCTTCCCTTGCCTGGCTCTGTCCTGCCACACAACTTTTGCATATAAGTCGCGCGATATTCATATTAATAATATCCGTTTGGGGAGGCCCACGCCAAGTGGCAGAGCCCGAGAAACAGGACCTTCACCTGGGGAGGCAGGACGGCGGGTGAATGCAGGCGAGACGCGCGCACACAGGATATAAAATAAATTAAGGCACAAAAATATGAAAAATTGTACGAAAACGCCAAGTGGAAGGCAGGCAGGAAGCGCAATACCTTTTAATGCGACAAAAATTTCAGCCAACATATCAGAGCAGCCAAGGCTGCAATCGTAGGGTGGAGTAAAGCGCACCAAAGTCGAGACGTATTCAGGCAAATCACTAACTACTGCATAAACAGGCTGCAGGCAATGAAGAACCCAGCCAAGGATACGGAAAGTAAAGAACTCGAGCTTTTGGGCCCGACTGAAGGTCGACTTTACATCACCCTGGAAATTTTCTATACCCTTGTAAAACTTTATCTATATAAGAAAGATTTACAAAGCCTTAAACAGATCAAAAATCAACTAGTGTCCGCTAATGCCTTCCGCAGATCTCATCAGAGTTTGTTATTGTAAATGTGTTTGTTAGCTGCAGATGTATCCAAACTTTTGAACAGTCGATGTTACCCAGTTGAGGTTACGCATCTCATTCCTGGTCAGGACCGTGCAGATAATTCTTTTAAAGATTTACCACCGTTTTTCGTTCGTATGAAGAATGTGATTTATTTTTTGCCCAAAAACCCTTGGCGTGAAAATCATTGAACTAATAGCTTGTGACATGTGGTGGGGGCTGCGAGTTTTATTTGCTTGAAATCCTTCAGGATTTTAAAATAATTCCCCGCAAATTTTGCGCGTAGTCAAAACAAGCAAAGGAAAGCAACGCATATTACGTATACGCCGCGTGTTGTAATGTCTACTTCAGAAAACAGAGTCGAACAATGTGCGCTCGTTATTTGTGTCATTATGCTGCAGATACAACACATCCTCGAGACGCAGGTAGAGCTGAAGATACTACAGATACGGATACTTCCCTCATTCACATGCTTGAGCATTGTCTTCTGCTCCCTCTATCTTTTTGTGAGCTCGTCTGTTTCGTGGGCTTTGTTTGCATCGCGGAATCCGCGACGCGACTTATGAAATCGTTCAGCACAATGTCAATATTATGCGTTGCCTCCCAGTTGGGTGAAAATTCTTTGTTAAGTGCCTTCCCGGGAATCCTTCAGCCCCCGACTTGACTCATCAGCGCTCCGATTGTTTCTCTCATGTGAAGAAGTGCACTCCAAGCGTAAATTATTAATAGAATAACGATGTGCTATTGTTTACCATCCGGTCGGAACCGTTTCTTGGAGTGCGTTTGCGTCTATTGTCTTGGCGGCTAATCAGCTTCAGTGGGCTGGAAAATGAGTCCGTTCTGCTGAATTTACCCAGTGCAGCAGCTCTTATGTAAGACAAGTGCATTTGGCTATAAAAATAGGATACTTTCTTAGTCTCAGCGAGAAGGCAATCAATGTTCAATGACAATATTTTTATCCGCAGTGTTTGGCCTGGACTCGCCACTCGGACTCTTTCCACCTGGAATGGATCCTGGCAAGCTGTACAACCCGCTAATGGAGATGAGCGACCCGAGGGACATGCCTGGCGGACCTCCCCCGTTCCTCAAAAAGAAAAGTAAGTCTTAGCATCACAGAAAAAAGTAGCACAGAACAAACTTTCGCCGACCAAAACAAACATCTAATTAACCCGAGAGTCGACGGAAACACCGAAAGGAGCAGCCAACGGAGACTTCTCTACGGCTCGAAAGGTGGAAATCATTTCAACATGATTGGCGTCGATCACGTTGGGGCACTCGAGCTTGTAGGCCGGTCGGCTCCGTGCCTGGCTGCAATACTTCACACCTGACTGATTTATCTCGCTCCCCGGCTGCAGAGTTCAAGCCGATCTTCCACCCTGGTTCCCTGCATTTGATCTGCTGCACTTTTGATCACGTATTTAAGCTGGGGGCAGTCGGAAAACACTTTGGCTTCGGATCGATTGCCGGTAATTGAAGAGCAAATACGAAGGGTCATAACCAGTTTGTAAGTTGCCAGCGATTATGTTATCCTAATTCCGTTACGAAATTAACTGAAAGGAAATGGCACGTATTTTTAAGCACGCTTGCTGCAAGTCCCCTTCCAAAAATTACCTTCCTTACAAAAAAGAGCCTAGACTGCACTTGGCAACAATCATTTCGTTTAGGCCCTCTTTGCCCCGCCCTAAGCCGTTCCAGATGCGATCAGCGATCGTCGATCACTGATCACTCGTGCGATCATGTGAGGCGGCAAATTTGTTTCTGCGGTTTTCCTGTGCGCCGAGGCAATCGTTGGATCGCCGAGGAATGGTTTGTTTGTTTCTTTATTGGTTTCTTGAATGGGGAAACATGTGCACCTATGCATATCGCAGGTGAAAAAGCGAGCGCAAAGTCGCTTTTTCTGATTGACAAATGGGCTAGGCGGAGAAGTCAAGTCGAAACACTCTCAGTCTCGTTTTTCCATCGATTTTTACTTGGATCACCTGCAGACAATGTCGGGCAAATGAAACCTCAGAGTTAATGAAGTTTTTTGGTTCAGCATACATATGCTTATGAGCAAGAGAACTGACAGACGATTGAGATGAGAAGGAATGAGTGAGTTTGAGAGTCTACATGTTGGCTATTCTCTTGACAGATTTTTGACAGTCGAGCGGCTAAGTGCTTTGCTATCACTAGTTATTTTTTCAAATCATACTCATGTAGGCCAACGCCTTCTAATCTGTACAGATTAAAAACCGTAAAAGAAAAAACGAAATGGAAATTTCTATAGCAACCGATTGTCACACTGTTAATTGCTTATGTTTTCTGGTGCTCAAGAACCAATAGATCAATTGATCTCATCAGTGAATGCAAGAATAAGAGAGCCAGAGTCGTGATCATATGTTGAGAATATAATATCCAAGAAGATTTGCTACATTTTATCCAATCTCCCTCCTCAGGCGTGCTGATAGATTCCGATACTTCGAAGACAATTACTACAATGTGAGCCGGCCAAAAACGCAAATCTGGCGTACAGCACGATATTCTTTGTTGTAAAACTGCAAAACCCGTTTCGCAACTGATACCAATCGGGAGCTGGGAAGCCCTACACTCACAACTCCGATGCGATCCCCTCGTGGCCCCCAATCGTGTGGGTGTGATTAACTGATTTGTTCACATTCATTTGTTCGTCTGCGATTGTTTTGAGCCCGTCTGCAAAACGTGATTTGCGATTTGTACCAAATTCAAATTTCGTTTTTCGCAAAAACGAACTTGGCTAACAGTTGTGTCGGTGGAACTTCATTAGGCTGGCTACATATCCAAAGCCTGCCAATTGCAGTTGGCTTTTGGGACCAGATATTCTCTGTATTTTCGTTTTCACCGGAATCAAAGGGTTAGACCTGGCTTTTGACCCAGCGCCTGCAGAGCCAAAGCTGTGCAGTTTCTCAGTCGCTTGGCCTCCCAAATAAGGGGAAATTCATATGATCAGGCGAAAGCAAACAGCGAATTAGAGTAAGTCGGTGCCAGAAATCCACCGGCACATGGCTGGCCTTAAGGGCTCCCTCCTCCACTCCCCTGATTCCCGAGCAGCAAAAGGCTGTAAAAAGAAACCTGTGGCTTTGCTGGCGATATCTGGGGATCTAAATTGAGTCTTAGCGGCGCATGTGACGCCGCGGCGCTGCACACTCTTAATTTGCATATAGAGGAGAGCCGAGCCGAGCAGAGCCGGCAGGTCAGGATGGGAACCTCCACAGCGCTCGTACCTCTTTGGCAGTGCCGAACGATCGCTCTCCGCGCGAGTAGGTGCCACACAAAGAATCGTAGCAGGGTGTGTTCGACTGAAGGCAGGTCTCAGTGAGCTGCTCCGTTGTTCGGGTCCCAGACAATGGGTGACTTTTCAGCAAATTTGTCTAGGCAGCATACTCTACTCGTATGAGGCCAGAGATTGAAACATTAGCAGATGCGAGCCGAGCGATAAGCTCGTGCTTGTGGCGCCTTGGCTGCCTCCCCATTCTCCCTGCCCCACGTCATCGCCAGCACGTCGGAATACCAGTCGTAACCCACGTTGTCCTCTTCTTTTCAGTGCCTCGACCAAAGGGCCAGCACTCGGCGCCGCGCGGTGGGCCTCCCCGATCCTGGACCAACACAGAGCTGACGGAGGCACTGCAGCACGTGTGGAACAAAAAGATGACCACCTCGCAGGCCTCGCGCATCTTCGGAATCCCCTACAACTCCCTGCTGATGTACGTGAGGGGCAAGTACGGCAAGAGCTTGAAGCTGGAGCAGCTGCGCAAGGACTGCATCAGCGGGCCGCCCATTGAGATGCTGCAGATGGGCATCGGCGGTGGCAGCGGGGGCGGCGGCAGCTCCAGCAAGGGCGAGAAGAGCAAGGAGCGCAAGGAGAAGGAGAAGGACAAGAACTCCGCGGGCAACAACGGCTCCGGTGGATCGGCCAGTGCACAGGGCGGAGGATCCACCGCTGGAAACGGGTCCTCCATGCCGCACCCCGGTGAAATGGGTCCACTGGGACCTCTGGACCTGGAGCTGGGGCTTCCGCTGGGCCCCCCTGGTGGGCCCCGCAGCGGCAGCTCGGAGTCCGATCTGCTGGGCAGCTCCGGCGGCCTGTTCAACCCCTTCAACCCGCAGGGCTTCTACCCGGACTTCGCCGGTGGCTTCCCCGGCCTCCCGCTGAGCATGCTGAACCTGCTGCCGCCGGCGGAGCGCCACCACGCTGCGGCTGCCATGCACCAACTGGGTGTCACCATGGACGAGGACTGCAAGTCGGTGGGGTCGAAGCAGTCCTCCTCCATGGACGACGACTTCGCCGGCCCTGGCATGCCGCTCTCGCTGGACCAGCGACGGGAGATTGGAGGGACTGGGACTACACTAGCGCAGTCGAACGGCGGAGCCGGGCAGGATTGAAACTTGTGGCGGGATTGGGCAACCGGGACTGCCAACGCCAATCCAGTGTACTTCCCTGCTTTCGAGCTGGACCAGGAGCAGAGTCCGAGACGGCACTCCCTGCCCACGAGACCCGCCCTCCACCAAATGGCCTGCCGAGAGCTCAGCTTCAAGCCGGACTTGGTTATGGCCAGACGGAAGCTGAAGCGCTTCCGGACCAAGCGACCGCTCCAGGAGCAGGTGGAGACGCCGCCGACAGCCGTCCCTGCCACTCGTCCCATCAGCCACGCTCTGCCACCACTGAGGACTTGAATGTGAACTCGAATGCAATACGTGTACTATTAGTTGATTGTTTTTTATTTGTTTTGTGGCTCCGGAAGACAATATTTCGATTACGAGGATTTCGATTCATTTTGAGCAAACAAGTTGTGTATATTTTGCTGGTGCTTTTAGTTCCTATTCCCAATTATATTCTGATATTTTGTACTTTATTTTAGTTAAGTAATTGAATATAACAAGGCTTACAAAGCATTTGAGGCAATACGTGAAACAATATATTACACCCCGTATTATTATATAATTTAAGTAAAGGAAAGGAAAGGAATGAAATGGAATATAATCAAAATGAGAAGGAAGGAAACAGTGTATATATGTGGAAATCCAAACCAACAAACAGCATTAACTCTACTCAGACTGTGGCTGCAATGCCCAGTCTCAGGATTAGATAGTTGTGAAGCAACCACCATGCAATTAGTAGTATTGATAATATTGACGGATACTTCGCCGATGACTGTACCAAAATTTTTAATGTTATTTTATAAAAGAAAACGAAAGCGAAAATTAGTTGTAGTCTTAAGTGTTCTCATAGGAAATTCGTACTTGTATAGAAACATCCTGCACCAGTATTCCTCACTCATAGATGTGCACATCTCCCTCCCCAAACATGCACAATCCAAGTTATTCAAAGATGCCGCTTTGTAAATCTCAGCCAACCTCACCAAATCCTGCAGATCAATCCGTTTTTTAATCTTAATTGTAAAAAAACCACAACAAATCGATAAAAGGCACACGAAGTGACACATACCCGCGCATAGTGTTAATAATTTATAAGCTCAAATTAAATATTTTAATATTAAATATTACGAGAAAAACATATGTAAGTAAACAAATAATAAAGTACATGCATTACAATAAATAGTAAAAGTTGATGAGTAAAACTGTAAATTCTTATTTTAAAACTTTTACTGGTTAAGAAGTTATGAAACTCCCTTTATTTTTTTGTAATAATTTAGTAATGAAATTCCTACGAATAACAAAATTTTTAAGCTGCCATGGAATTTTGCCAAGGAAGCTCAGAAGTTATACTGATAACAATATCATTTCAAAACACGCGCCGTTTGGATTCCAATGAACTTCAAACTGTGAAAATGAAGCAGTGGGATACAAGCAGTTGAAAAGCAGTATAAACCAAGCAGTTGTACAAAGGCATGCAAGCAGTGTGGCACACTGGTGAGGTGAAAACTCTGATTTCAAAAAAGATAACGAAAGTATTACATGCGTATCTGTACTGAAATTTTTTTGTTTTATGAAATTTATTCAAGTCAAAGAACAATGTATTTTTTTCAGATGACTTCTGTATGGCTATGGATGGACTCGGCATCTATCATGAAACCTTTAAACTTTGACGTGTTCGAGGACATCGGCCAGTTGTGGTCCTAAAGAAGGCAAGAAGCAAAAACAGTGGCACTGGCGGGGTTCTTTATTTACCTAATGTTTTGATTGTATCTTGGCGGAGGTTCGCGATACCATCCCAGACATGCACTGCGTCATGCTGCGCTATCTGTGCACAATTCGCCAATATTAACAATCTTATCGCCCGTGACCAGGATTATCAACACGTGCATAATTCGTTTGTTTTGACTTCGACTTGAATTCACCTGAAAACGTAGATGAATAAGAAGAGGCGAATTAACAGTCAACGAACTCACATTTTCGGTGAACGAGCTGACTTCGGAATTTGTGATAATATTTCGGCCCACTCGTCGAAATGGTCACATTGCCAAGTCAGGTGGCCAAGACTGAGACGGTGAATGGGCAAAGACGGAGGCATGTGACATATGCATTGCCCCACCACTAGGCCTTTTTATAAGGTCTAAAAATAGCATGCTAAGCCTTCAGTGTAATGTCCCAGAGCGAAAAGCGATTCAATACCCGGTTAATGCAAACAACCGGGGGACAATGCACATGGCACAGTCAGTTTTTCTACCCCACAAAAGCTCTAACTGCAAATATCTAAAAATATAAAAAATAAAAATACCTAATTGTCAAACAAAAGTGACAGTCCATATGTTGTATTAATATCAGATATATAAATTCATGAATTAATAAAAGCTACCTGTTGGCCTTTCTCCAGTGGCAGGAAGTATCGCCAGAATCTCTTAAGCCAAAATCGCTGGATATGAAAAAACTGTGCTTAGTTGTTCACGATTCTGAGGCAGAAAATAAATCTTAACTTCCAAAAACAAGTTTAAAATATACAAATAGCCCAACCTAGCAACTAAATTTCTGAAGCCCCATGCACTGCATAAGGGTTAACCATACTCTCTATTGCTGTTTCTTTCGCTCTTACGTGAAGACAACGATTCACTCGTGCTCATTATACGTTCAACAGACTGATGGACCCGACGAGACCGCCTTATACTTATTCTCCAACGTTCCCCGGTTAGTACAAAATCAGTCTTCTCTCGTACATGCAGTGAGTTAGATACATATTCGACGGATAACATCCGCCTGCTGCCTTCTGTCGCGTATCTGTACTAATGATTTGCCTCAGTTAGTCGGTTGTTTTGTGAATATATACTCGGATCGAAACTAACTTCAGCTTCAACTTCGACAAGGGGCAGTATATAGAGGAAACCTCAGAGCCGCAAGAGCGCTACAGCAAGTATCTTGGAGGTACGGCAGATCTCACAAAAGAATACACACACTGAATTTATTCCAACCGCGTTCGCGCAACAACAAAAATAATAGATAAAGCGACATCAACATAAATAATTACGAAAATGCGCCAAGAAATAAAAAGCGCAGATAAATTTCAATCGTATTAAAGCCAAAGAATCTGGCTATTTGTTTGTGTTGAACGAGTGTAAGTGGGGGGTACAAACAGCTGTTGGGGCAACAAAAGCATCCACCTCACAGAATTTTCTGAGTGCTGAATACATTTCGACAGCAGACGCAAACGACAACAAAACAATACTACGATTCTCCCACTTTCCGTGCTGGTAAAAACGTAGCACTTGTGTTTCTCCAATCAGTAACAAGGCAAGTGATTTCCTATTTATCGGATAAGTTATTTTTAAAAAACTGGCAAAAGATTAAACGGCATACTGATAACAAAGAGTTTTGCAAAGCTCTTTGGTGCCAGCAAAACTCTTTAATGCTTAATAAAACTAAACTTGAACGTGGTAGAAAAAAGAACTGGCAGATTCATTTTGCGAGAATTGCCTTTTGTCGTAATTTATGCAACAGGTAAACAAACCAAATATTTAAATAATTCCCCATGCCTTCCAACACAATGAAAACGGGATTACTATAACTTGGCACGTTCCTAGATCCCAGTGGCCAAACAAAGAAGCGCCTTGTTAAAAAACTCTTGTAATTAAAACGCTTGCAGTTTGACAAAGTAATACGTTTTTGTCATCGGCTATAGAGCATTAATGCAGCACCCCAATTGCAATAGGGAAAAGCCTTGGAAAAATCAATAAGTTCCCCAAGAGCAAACAAAGTAAATCGTTAGTTGAAGAGAATTCAGGTCTAGCAGCGCATGCGCAAGGATCTCCTTAACTCTCCATTTTAACCTACACTTTGCTTCAAGAAAAACTAAAGGTTCCTCCAGTCAATATTTGTTGCTGCTCTGGTTGATATTGTTGTTACTGGTCTATTGTTAATGCTGCATTTTTGGCAGCGAACTGTGTCGTGTGTATGTATATCTATGAATTGGGCTGCACTTTTTAAAGCTTAGCTAAGGAGCCAAATAAAAACGACAGGGGAAGTGCGGGTTTCCTATTGAGAACAGAAATGGCAACAAAGTTCTTGTCAAACATGCAAATACTTTCGTCAGAGGTTGATGTCCGTACAGTGACTAAAGGTTGTAAGTACTTGATGAGGGTTTAGGGACAACCGTAATTGTTCAATTCAATAATAGTCTCTCCCGTCAATTCGCTGAGTAAGTGGGTCACTCAAAAAACTACACCCGACCAAAATCTTAGGCGGAGGCTTTTACCATTGGACTTGAACCAGTTCTCGCTATCAAGTTGTCACAACCACGCGACCTCGCCAAAAACAAGAGTGGTTTTCTTATTTAACACTTCGTTCACCCAATTAGCCAAATCGAATGTGTGGGACTCATTTCAGAATTGGTCGCATATTGTCTTTGGCTCCAAGTGCAGTGAACCCTCACCGATATCGGAAAAAAAGTATAATATTGTTTCCGAGTTGCAGTCATTTAAAATGTTTACATACATCGAGCCGGTTGGCTTAAAAGCAAGGTGCAAGTGGAAATTTCATTTTCTGAATTAAGGATATTTGTGTGTTGCGCATTCTTATAGCTATGTTCTCCGCCGAGCTTGTGTAAGGTGTTTCAGTAAACAAAAAACGTTTTTCTTGACGTCAGAGCTACAGAGAAAGGCCTAAGCTCCAACTAGACCGGCTGAAAACGGGTAAAACTGCCGCTTCCTCATAAAACCTGTAATAGCCGTCGTACGCTGCTCGGGAAACAACTTCACATTCACGTACTGGCTTGTTAATGATTAAATAATACAATTGGAATAAGAATGAAAATTCCTCAAAGCGAGACAATTATCGGGCTGCGACCGGTTCAATCTAATAAAATTTTAACGAACACTAATTGTTTAATGCATTAGTTAAATGACGAAACGAAACAAATGTCATGTGGAGGGAATCCGCCTGAGGTTTCAGTCAATCAATTGTTTTTTTCCTTTTACCGTTACACATTGCTTTATCGGCAGTCTTTTTGATTAGATTGTACAGCCCTTTAATCTCAAATCTTATACATTTTGTTTACTTAAGAATGAAAATTGTTTTTCCAAAAATTGTTTAAATGCTACAGGAGAGGCACAAAAATGATAGAATATGCTACATTATTAAGATCTGTGAACTTCACCATTCGGCGGATTTCTAGCCGGTTATATGTTTCTTAAAAATGTGGGACTGGCATATGGCAAACCAATTAGAGAAGCGTGCTAAACGTCACCGAAAATGATATAAATATTCGTCGCCGTTAGCTGGAGAGAGTTTTGGCAAGTGCGTCCGCAGACCGCTTTGTCTAACGAAATCTGTCATGGGGCCGGCGACTCGTGCTGAAGTCAGTTTTTCCCGCATTTGCACAGCTGGTGCCAGTTTAGACTTGTTTCAATGAACTGAAATCTAACGTGTGTGAAGTAAAAATTATCGAACCTAATCGCTTTCAATTGTCCTCTTGAGTTCTTAATTGCTTTTTGACCAATGCCATGTTAACTGTGCTGTACTTGCCAATCATCTTATCTGAAAACCAGTATTGTCTGTGTGACAACAGAAAAATAAAAAATAAATGTTAAAAGAGAAATTTAGCATGTTCCCAAAATTCTTTAAGTATATCATGATCTTCTCCAAACGTTGTCCCTATTTTATCGCCCTATACTATGCTACGAATGTCGTTAAAAAACACTCGGTTAGCCGATGTGGAGAACTATGAGTCACACGATCCCGGAGACGACAGCAGTCAAGAATAGACACCATCCGCACTCCAGGAGTGCAGCACTCATCCCCGACCAAAGCGCTGCAGGAGATGCCTTTGCAGTCGAGGGCGAACACCAATATCTTCTCGCGGATAGATATACTTACTTTCGCTTGCTGCTGTTCCCCTTGCAGCAATCTGACCCAGAGTGCTGTTCCAAGCTTCTGTTAATACCAAGTACCATTTTGAGTTTATTGAATTTCATCTTTTTTTCCTGCTGCAGAACTTGTAAATGAGCGGAGAGTATTCCTTTCTAGGCAAAACTTTTGTATCGCTAGCGTTGAAATGTTCAATCAATAAAAAGGAAACTAATTCCACTTCCGAACCAGTCCCTCTAGCTTACCAAGCCAATCGCTTTAACCTGCTCACCTTGCTTATTATTGTGGACAAAGCGCTCGACAGTTTGCATCCGAGAACGGGAGTTTCAGAAGCAAAGCTGAATTTAAATATTTTTCCGCATTAGAAATCGGCATCCGAAATCTGCAAAGGAAAAAATGTGAATTAATTAAAATGATGAGTGCGATTTGGCGAATCAAAAACACAAAAAGAAGTTAGAACGGGGGACAAGTGAATAAAAAGCAAGCCACAGGCCCCGACATGTGCGTGGAATATCTTTCAAAGTGTAACCAATGGGAGAATAGATTGAACACACTAATTGGATAAAAATGCGAATTGTCTGATGTTTGGACCGGGCAGGGCAGGTACCAAATGAGGCTTCCCTCTGGCGATTATTAAATACCTCCAGATACTATAAAAATCAATATTGTTTAGTAATCTCAGCACGCAAATCGCCGGCACGTTGGGTTGAGGGGGGCTGGGCCAGTGTTTTTAGGAGTGCAGTCTTATAGCGAACTGCTCACTAGTGTCCAAGTGCTGAGCACTCTGACGCGCATCTTTCACGACTAATTGGTTGTGACACCGCGGCCAAAACGTGCAAATGGACAGAAGGTCGAGTACCAAGCTCAGCAACGTGGGACTTGGGCTAAGACCCGGTTTTCAGATAACAAACCCTCGATACGGCAAAGCTGCCACTGCCACTAAAATGGTTTTAATGATCAAAACGACAATTAAACTTTGTTGTTTCTGTAAACATGGCCTCTTTGGCTGTTGACAAGATTAATCGATACCTGTTCAGGAAAGAAGGGCTCTGGCATGTGCCAGTAGCTCTCAGGTTTTCCCTGCTGTCCTCGAAGACCACTGTGTGCTCTTTCGTCCTTGTTGTCCTGTCAAAGCCCGATGAAAGTAGGCCTCAAACACATTTTAAGGACAAAACTGTAAGTTGGCTAGCTAGCGAATTTAAACTAAAGTAGCTAATATACATTGTTAATTCATAATGCTTCGAAAACGAAGAGGTTTACTCACACGTACCTGTGGTTCATAGTAAGTTACCGTCTGTAAAACCCCGTTAAAAAAGGAGTCGTCTGAACAATTATACGCAAACAGAGCCGGCTGGCAAATAGCGGAAATCACGTTTTTACACTGCTGACGTTCGAGTGGCTAATGAATGGTCGAGGGGGCGCGAGCCGAGTTAAAAAAAGCTGATCCAAGTCGGCTTCCGACCGCGCGGAAGGGTGCAAGGGGAGGGGCGGTTTCGGTGGACAGCCCGCGAAAGGTGTGTAAAGATTTATGACGTGGTTGGCGGCGCTGGCTCGCAGCTTACACTGGCTCTAGCCTCCTCCTCCCACTGGCGCACTCGAGGAAACGCCAAAGACTAGGGGAATATCAACTACATAGTGCTGTTCTGTGTTTGTGGCTGCTACCCCTCCATCGCCGTCCCGCGGGTCAAAACGTGACTTTGGGGAACGCAGCTCCTAAGTAGCGGGTGTTAATATTTTTATGGCCGAGTGTGTTCGGCTGCCTACACTGCTATTTCCAGCACTTTCAACATGATGCACTTTTGTTCTGGCGCCTCTCCAAGAGTCTTTTTCGGTACAGCAGTTCTCAAGACAATGCTGCAGAACTTTTATTGATTTTGTCGCCGAGCCGTAAAGTAAAGTGCATCATAAATACTTACAGTGTGAACCGTGTTATGGAGCCCGTTTCGTCGATTCCTTTTTGGTCACAAGACACTATATGAGAAATGTTGCAAACGTGGTGAGTCAAAGGTTAATAAAATTGTTGGGAAATAACTTGTTGGTTGCCAGCGGTTTACTCTAAATCTGTATATCCAATTCCCTTGCAAAATTCCTGCCCAAGAGTATCAACCGTTTTTGGACCATTCGAAGCTGCTATGTGCTGTGGAAAGAGAATGAAAAAAATAGTAGACTGCAAGATAATTTGCAATGAGAGCGACGTACAAATGTACTTGCCAAATAAAAATGGGCATTGGGCAAACCGCCAAGTCTATTAAAGTGCCCTTTTTTAGATGCCAAAAAACAATTGAAAGCAAAAGTGACGAAATACAGAGACTTTGCTAAGTAATTAGAATCAAGTATGGTAAAAATGTGTATATGTGCAGTGGATACGGAATTGAAGTTCAAGTATCGTGCAAGCACAATCTCTTGGAAGAATACTATGTTGCAGCAATATTTTTAGAAGCACATGACGAGAACTGGAACTCTATCGTAGTGTGCGTGGGTGGGTCTATACACAGTCCTATTTATTTTTATGTACATCCATTCAAAAGCAGATATGTAAACCCAAACATGCGGAGCATGTTTTGGCGTATGGGCAAACTCGCTAGCACAGATGTTGCAATATGCGGCAAGGGAATCTGAATCAAGAAGCAATATTTTTGAACACAGTCAAAAGTAATTTTAAAACAGAAGTTCTCACACTCTCAGCGCCATTCGCACCGAACTAACATTAAAGGGAACATACCGAAACTGTTATCGTTTGAGACCGTTTACTATCGTGTTTTTCTTTAAAAATTGACATTTAATTGTGTTCTATTTTGCAGCACCTATTTGTTATTGCCCCTTTGCGTGTCAATAATCGACGTGTACTTGTTTACACACAATTTAATTAGTCAAAACGATTCTCACCATATTACAAATTTCAAACTTAAGCTGCAAGAAATCAGCAACCAGTGGTTCTTTTCCAGAGAAATATAAACATCAAACAAACAAATGAAAACCGTTTCTTTGCCCGCTGGCAACATGCCAATATAAATAAATGCGCGTTTTTTTTTAAATAAAAATAAATAAGTGCAATAGCCGTGACATGCGCCTCCAAGCAAACACTGACCCACGACTAAAAAATGTCCAGATAAAAACAATGCAGTAAACATTTTTCGAGCTCACCAATAAAATGATGTTTGTTTCATATGTCTAACAATATTTTAAAATCTTGACCTCCCTGTTCTGAATTTATAAAGTTTAAATAACAAAATTAAAACACATATACCTTATATCTTCTTGAACAAAACTGGTATATTATATTTTTAAAAAGTGCAACGCAATTTTGAAATGTTTTCCTAGCGGCACACGCACAGAAACGGCTTAAGGTTGACACAGCGGACATTCACCCAAGTATTGTTTTAAGGCAAAGAGAGAACTCAACGGTTCGAGCCGTTTTTACACCCTTGCAGAGGGTATTATAAATTCAGCCGGAAGAGGATTTGCACAGACTGAAAAAAACCAACAATAACACAGTTGTAGTTTTTGAAAAAGCCCGCATATCGGTTGATATTAAGTACCAATCTTATTTCTCGTTTTAGCTGCCAACTACACTTGCTAAAAGGCAAATGCGCCATTCCTATTAAGAACGAGTCCAGCTAACATCACCCGCGTTATGTTTTTACGAAGAATGCTCTTCCTGGCCGGCCTGGTGCTGCTGTTCGGAGGACTCCCGCACCTCACCTCCCCCACAACGACGACCAGCTTGGTGGCCGCCATGTCCATCGCCAACCAGGACTTGGAGCGCTACTTCAGACCAGGCAACGGCACGCACACCTTCTCAGGCATGGAGGACCGCATTGCCGTCGACGTCTACAACTACGCCTATCTCAACTGGTCTTACGTGGACCACGCCAACGTGCTGTGCAACATGGACTTCCCCCAGGAGCAGGCTCGCTACGGGGAAGGCAAGGTGCTGAACGTCACGGGGCGTCTAATCCACATCAGCGCCACGGAGAACGTCAGCGATGACTACGCGTGCACCCCTTACATCCGGGGAACTCTGGGAGCTCCCACGCCGGAGAAGGGTGTGTCCTGGATAGCCTTGGTCCGCCGGGGACGCTGCACCTTTGAGGAAAAAGTCAAGCATGTCTACCAGCAGAACGCCGCCGGTGTCATTATATACAATGACAAACAAGTGATGCAGCTGGAAAAGATGCAGATCAAGGGAAAAACCAGTGAGTTTGAGTTCGACACTTGAATTTGAACTTTGCCAACCCAAATAAATATCGTCCCCGTAGGAAATATTGCCGCAGTGATAACGTATCAGCATATTGGCCAGGATCTGGCCATGACCCTTGATAGGGGCTACAATGTCACCATCTCCATCGTCGAGGGGCGACGTGGTGTACGCACCGTCAGCAGCTTAAATAGGTGAGTCCCCTCTTCCCAAAATGTCTGTTGGAAAAGGAGAGAAAGCTGCAATCAAAAGAGTAGACCTTTTTTTAAGCGAGGGACTTTCTAAGCAAAGCGAGTACTCTACGACTGAGAGATCAGTGAAAAATTTATTTAAAAAATATTAAATATTTGGACTGTAAAAATCACAAAATAAAGTCAATGAGATCTCTTGGAGACGCCGGGGTTTGAACCCGGGACTTCTCACATGCGAAGCGAGCGCTCTACCACTGAGCTACGTCCCCTTGAGAAACTCGGTAACCGATTCCAAATATTTCAGTCGCAAACTGCTTTATCGACATGGCGTCGGCAAAGCAGATTTGTGGATTTATTTGACCGACCTTTTAAACCTCTTTTTCCATTTTGGTTTAGATTAGTTAGTTGCGCAGGTTATATATATTTATACACATTTTTTTAAATTTCTTGTCGAAAAGTTGATGTAGCAAAGGGAGTGGAGCGTTGAGAAAGTCGTATTAAAGTTATCCAAGTCTTATTAAAAATATTATGTCCAGGGCCGTCGGAAGGCGTGGGTATTATGGACAGAACTACCCGCCTGAAACTTCGGAAGGTGGGTAATTACCCACCTGAAAAACAGAGATGAAAACCTTAAAGTGATCTTAAAAATTGACTTAGCAAATAAAAAAACATAAAATCAGTTCAGAACAATATGTTAAAATTGATTAAAAATTCATGAGACGACCCCCGCTTACGTTTGTCTGGAAAATCACCCACCTGGAATCAAAACGTTTCGGCCCTGATTATGTCATTTTGGTTGTAGGAAATTCCATGCGTTAAAATTAAGAAAGAGTATATTGAAAGCTAAATATTTCATATTCGATTTCCTGCCTTAGCGTATTCGCGCTGATAAAGCAGTTTACGGTCGAATCACTTGGAATTTGTTACCGAGTTTGTCAAGGGGACGTAGCTCAGTGGTAGAGCGCTCGCTTCGCATGTGAGAAGTCCCGGGTTCAAACCCCGGCGTCTCCAGCTATAAAAGTGGATTTCTTTTTTACATTATGTGAATTAAAGTATAATTCTTTTCTTACATTATGTGAATAAGGGCAAACCGATTTTATACCCGCATATATTAACATTGTTTTTACCCAATTATCTTTTAGGACGTCAGTGCTGTTCGTGTCCATATCATTTATAGTTTTAATGATTATTTCGCTGGTGTGGCTCATTTTCTACTACGTTCAGAGGTTTCGTTATATGCAGGCAAAAGATCAACAATCGGTAAATATATATTTTAAAGTATAAAGTCACAGCTTAGCATATTTTTTCCCGCATAGCGCAATCTGTGCTCTGTTACCAAGAAGGCTATCATGAAGATCCCAACGAAGACGGGAAAAAGCAGCGACGAGAAGGACTTGGACAGCGACTGCTGCGCCATTTGCATCGAGGCCTACAAGCCCACGGACACCATTCGGATACTGCCATGCAAGTATGTAGTCGGTTCACTGAGCTCCGAAGAGGATAGTCACTGCTAGTTAACTGGATATTTTTAGACACGAGTTCCACAAAAACTGCATCGATCCGTGGCTCATCGAGCACCGGACCTGCCCCATGTGCAAGCTCGACGTGTTGAAGTTCTACGGATACGTGGTGGGTGACCAAATATATCAAACCCCCAGTCCGCAGCACCCAGCGCCCATTGCCGCGGTGACTGGGGGCCAGCCCTCCATCGAGGAGGTGCCCGTCATTGTTGTGGCCCTGCCGACAGGACAGCCCATCCTCCAGGAGCTGCAGGCCTCCAACATGAGTAGTTTCGCTCCCAGCCACTATCTTCCGCGTAGTAGTAGTCCTAGCAGTAGTGTCCACCCCCAGCTGCCACCGCTTGCGTACCAACACCACCCGCTGCAGTTGGCAGCGGAGCGCGGGAGACGCAACTCAGCTCCCGCCACAATGCCAAACACCATCATTTGTACTGCCAGTCATCAGGTCACCGACGTTTAAGTCATCTTCGAACCCACGAATAAGTCTAAGGCCCAACATCTACGGCATATTCAGAAGTAAGCTGCAGATTGCTCCTTTCATCATTTCACGGATTAACTTTTCTTGAGCTTGCTAAATTCGAAGTGCAGTAGTGCCGACCCATGGTAACGAAAAGGCTTTGGTACTTTGGTACCATATATCCGATCATTTGTAAATAATACCATGTAAGAACTGTGTACTTAAAAGCGGATATGAAGACTTTAATTTTAGTTATACATGAACCCCACGCATATGAATACGTATTTAAGCTACCATACAAAAAACCGATAGAAGTTCAACTTGAAAACGGAATTACGATAAACTTAAATCGCATAGGGTTTAAGTAAATACTTAAGTTTTGTGTAAGTGTAACAATTGTCGATACAACTATATAACTACGCCTACCTAAAATACTATACCAATACAATTAAAACAGTGACTATATTTAAAACTGTAGAGGATTAGTGTTGAATGCAATAATTTTAGCAAAGTCAACGACTGATTTGCTAGTCAAAGCTCTGCCGATTAGACACATAAAGAGATAAACAAATCAATCGCACTCAGCGCACATTATGTAATAATATTTACTGTAATATCGAAGGTGCCAAAGTATCTGTTTTAAGTTGTTTACATTTAATAAATCGATTAGTTTTTTTAAGAGCCCTCATTTGTTTCAACTCTACACGTCTTTATGCCGTTAATTTTTTTCAATTGATCTTGGATTGTTTTATTTTTACATACAGTTGGCTTGTGTAGTATTTACTTTATGTTCTTTTTCTGGATTATAGCTCGATTTGATAGTTTTACCATACAATATATACAAATTAAACAAGACCACGCTGACTGTTTGGAATTGCCAAAAAGTCGTAGATAATCTCTGATAAACCCCTCTAACAAATTGTGGACTCAAACATTTTTAAGAACCAACCAATAAACATATTACTTTTGAAGACTTAGCTGAAAGGCGTTGCTTTTCGCCTTTGTAACCGCTTGCTACATTTTCCTTCTGAGGCCGAACCAATTTAGATGGTGCACTTTCGTTGCAGTTTCTAGGCAGCGAGGAAAGCATTCTGGAGTACCAGCCGGACCCCCCGCAGGGACTTTCACCTGTGGAGGCAGGTGGCCGTCCTGCGGAGACGGTGGCAGGAGCGGGTGAAACCAGGCCCAGCGCCTTGGCGGATCTCATCCAAAGCCGTGACTTTGTAATAGATTTCCCGCGCGTGTTCGTACTGGATAGCGGGAGTGTCGTGGGAGCCCGGGAAATGCTGTTCCCGAACCGGCTTCCCGAACGCTCGCAGAGCTCCCTCTCGCTGAGGCAAGCCCGCGATTGGATGAGTCTCATGAGCAACAAGCTGGAGGAGCAGCACGGCTTGCGTCGCCTACGCAAGGATGAAATGCAGCAGGTACCCTAGGGCGAAATATAAGTATCCTTCCTCGACTACTACCCGTTTCTCCCTGTGCAGCAACTTCTTAGTGCGCGGGAGTCGGGCCGCCACCGCAGGTCCCGCTCTGCGGACGGACGCCTTCCCACCGGATGCTTGGGGAGCCGCCAACGCCAGTCCGCTGGGCAAGCAGCCGGCCGAGCGCAAGCCCAGCTCCAAAACGATGGCGCCCAGCTGCCGCGCTGCAGCTCCTCGCAAGCCCTGCAGCAGCTGACGGACGCCGCCTACGCCCAGTCGCGGCAGAGGCAGCGGGAGTCCTTCGACTTTGCCAGGACTCGCCGACTATTTATAAGGCGCGAGAGCGACGAGATATCCTTACGACCACTCCCCAGGAGGGGAGAGACCGGAGCGAGCCGGCAGAGCGACCAAATTTCCATTCAAGTGAATGGAGAAGGAGTCGACCTTAACGAATAAATGCAATTCGTACGCTTATCTCAGCAACAACTGTATAAACTCTATGTATCTGTTTTAGAAAGTGTCCAAAATTTTATTTACTAAATAGCTGTATTACTTATTAATTAAATTACTTAATACTACAAATCATAAGTTATTTAACGGAAAAGAGAAATTCGTTTCGAAAAGCAAAGTAAGTAGAGATTACCAAGCAATAAACCAGAGGAGTTTCGAATACCTGTTCAGATTCGCGATCTGGCCCCGCGGTGCCAATTCCTGCGGGGAGTTCTGGCAAAGGGAGCTTTCGCTGCTGTTGGCGGGAGAGAGTCAAATTAATCTGATTCTGCACTGCATCGCGACGCGACGCGAACGGAGCTGCGTTATTCTTTTGATCGCTTTGTTATATACTTATAACCAACTCGAAACCCAAATAAATATTGAAGTTAAATATATTGCCTTAATTTTCAAAGTGTTTTGTACGACGACGGAAGACCTTAGTTCTATGACCCGGAGCCGCCGGCAGGACGGGACACATCTTAACATAACTCGCTTCGGAAGAGTAGCCCAAATAAAACGTTCTATATATTTTCAAAGTTTCCAACTTCTCCGTCTTAAGAGCCACCAACATCTCGAAGAATGGAACTAAAAAACTCGTAGGGAATTTGCAGATAGTAAGATGCCCCAGGCTGGGAAACTGCGCAATAAAGTAGCAGATAACTTCCCCTTCGTTTTTTGAGATAATTTTAACATATAAACATACAACATATAACATTTAAACAAGAGAGGAAGCTCTATATACCCTTGCGGATTTAATATATGTCTAACAAACAATATCGGAGCTTTGACGATTTTCGACTTTTGTTCATATGGCAGTAATATGTTATAGTCGTCCGATTTTTATGAAATTTAATTCGAAATTCAAGAGTTGTTAAATAACTCTATATTTCAAAAATTATGATTGTCTGATGAAAGACAACGATGTTATAATTTTATTTCCGTTAATTCTATAAAGTTTTTTTTATCTTTCTATGACAGCTATATGATAACGTAGTGCGATTTTAATGAAATTGTTTTCTAGATGCAAGGATAGTTAATTAACAATTATTTCCATTAATTCTATATATATTTTTTTATCTTTCCTATGGCAGCTGTATGATTCTGATAAAATTTAATTCGAAATTTGAAAGCAGTTAAAAAAGACCATCTGAAAGAAATCAAGTCGATATGATCAACAACAACGAAGTAATAATTGTTTTTTCAATCTCTCGTATGGGAGCTATCCGATATAGTCGCTCGATCCGGGCTGTTTCGACTTATATACTGCATGCAATAACTACACAACTTTTGGTAATGTTTCAGCAAGATAGCTTCAGAACTAAGAGACTAGTTTGCGTAGAAAGAGACAGGAGGACAGGCGGACAGACGCACGAACGTATTTCGATTTTGATCGTGATGCTGATCAAGAATATATTTACTTTATGGGGTCTGAGGTTTGTCCTTCCCTGCGTTGGAACTGACTGAAATTATAATACCCGTTTCTCTGCAAACGTTTAATAAAATTGTGGTTTTGTAAATTCTTAATATAATATATTGTTATTTACTACTAGGGAACTTTAATATTTTTACTGTTTACCATATCGCACCATTGGTAATACAAATAAATAGAATTAGAACTCTAGTTCAAGCTAATTTTTTAATTGTCCTAATCTTATTATTTATAATTACTAGTCTCATCTCCATTATCTTAGAATGTATTACGATTTGGTTAAAAGTATTTATTTTATTTTATTCAATACATCGCAACCTTCCCATCACGAATAAAGCATAAAGACCCCAGATTGGCTTAAATTGCAGTTTAATTCCGTTAAATATGAGGCTTATTTTGCCAGTTAACCTTTTCTATTTTTGTAGTACAAAACCCCTAAATCGTATATAAATAAGACGTTCGGCTTAATAAGTATTTACAAAATGTACACGTTACCATTACGATAAATATTTGCTAGTTTCAGATGTTACAAGGTTACTACAAGTCTTTTCTTACAGATTCAAATTATGATAGTGGCTAAGCTAATAGAGAAAATACCATAATTGCTGCCAGCAGCATATGGTGAAAATATTTTCTTATATCTTTTTACAATGTCTTAAGATAAGATTAAAATAAAGCGAAATAGTTTTGCAACAATAAAATCTCTGCAGTTGTCTACGGACTCATGGTGAGTGCTTGGCCGACGGTCATGAAAGAATCCAGGAGTGTATAATACCTGTGCAGCGAAGGAATTAAATTAAACGGCAACAATATTACCACGAGGGATATACTCACGATTTTCGCCGGGCGAGAGTGTTATATGTATGTCCTCACGACTCAGCACAGGGGCTAAAAGTAAAAAAATTGGACAAAGCCCCGGGGACATGTATACTTTGTGTTTTACCAACCAATTTGTTAGGCAACAACTGGCGAAATTTGTGTAAATATTTAAATAACATTCTTTATTTATTTTTGAAGCTGGCTAAAAATAATAAACTCTGTTTTTCGTTTGCTTAAAGCTAGTACAATTAGGGGCCTGAGGCTGAGGCGATTGCAAATAATATAACTGAAATAAAATAATTTAAGCAGGCCGAGCGCTTAAGCAATTTCTTTTTATCCTTTGACTTTCGCGTTCGTTATCAATTTTGTTGTCTTTCAGGTTGAACCATGCAGTGGATATATGCAAATCCTGCCGACTAATAATTAAATGCTATCACAGTTTCAATGTCGAGCATGCAGGAACAGTGGGAAGCGAGTTCATGCACGTTAAGCGAACTATGTGATCGTTTGCTGCAGCTTTTGGGTTATGTATGCAGGGCGTAGGGCTGCTGGGGCGGCTGCGGTTGCTGCTCAAGGCCGCCGGTGGGCGGGGCAGCAGCAGAAGCGCCCCCGCCTCCGTTGGGAACAATGTGTATCATACCCGGCAGGATCCTAACGTTCTCACAGGCCTCGCAAATATTCAGTTGCGGGTGGTTGCGGAATGTACACATGTTGCAGGCCCACGAGTCCAGCGTCTCCTCCTCTTCGTCCACATCGGAGTCGGACAGATATTCCTCCTCCTGATGTGGCTGTGGCTGCTGCTGCTGCTGTTGCTGTTGCTGTTGCAACTGCTGTTGCAGCTGTTGCTGATGCTGCAGTTGCAGCTGCTGTTGTTGAATCTGCTGACGCTGCTGCTGCAGATACTGCTGGAACTGATAGTACTGGGCGTACGTGGGAGGCGGCTCCTGCTGCATCTGGAACTGCTGCTGCTGGCTCTGCTGTAGGGGCGTCAGACATGCCGAGGTCGGAGCACTGCTGTGGTGCTGCCCAAAGTCCAGGCTCGGGTGCGCAGTGGGCGCCGCAGGTTCCGAGTTCAAACGCAGCGAATTCGGCGGAGCCTGGACGCGAGCACCTTGACGCTGCCGCGGGAATGGCTGTGGCTGCTGCTGAGGAGCATTGCTGGCGGGGGCCGAGTGTTGGCGGCTCATGGAATTGGCCGCGGGACCAGAGCCATTCGCCTGCGGTTCTGTCGATATAAAAAAAATATATTAAATACATTTAAGTTCGCCCTGCTACTTAATAGTTGTCGTGCACATCTACTTACCATTGATGCAGTCAAGCAGCCGTTTACAGTCCTCAGTCAGTCGCAAGATATCTCTATCCAGTCTTTCAGATTCGCCCACCGGAATCGGATCGGTCAGGATGTTAATCTCCTGCTCGAGCACCAGCAGCCGCTTCTTGTTGTCCCTCAGCGCGTTCGCCAGCTTGTCGCGCCGCTGCTTCTGCCGCTCAATGGTGGCGGCATGTGCTAAAATAGATATGGAGAACACGGATTAATCGATCGACTCTTCTATTTGGTATGTCTATTCGGCTTGGCAACAAGGGATTGCCTTTCGGCATTTCGCATTTCCAATTATTCCCCGCTGCTAGATTTATTTTTACTGGCTAATACTTCACATTTTATTACTCTGTTTTGTTGCTAAAAATATTTAACCCCACCATCCGCGCGGACACCGCAGAGCGAGAGACGTTCATAAACAGAATTTATATTTAAATAGATAAATTTAGTGAAAATGCGCAAGCAAGCACATCCAAAAATCAATCTAATAATAATTTATTCCAACGAACAAATAGGTAAAAATAACCAAAAAAAAAACACAGACAAAGTCTTTCGATGCATTCTGTGTTTTGATTTGGGCGACAGTTCATTTGAATATTTTTAGACGCTTGATAGATTTAAACGGAAATAGCGATCAGGGCAGTGGGCCAAGGGATCTCCGATCTATATCTGCATACATATGTATAGGTATGTGTCGAAAATGGCACATCATTATGCGGGAATCGCTGGCATCTTTATTGATTAACTGTTTCATTAATAAACCTTGTTTTTCCGAAATCACAAATGTTTTTCCTAAGTGAAAAATTGTCAATCGATCTGAACGAAATTTAAAGTGTTTTCTCGTGATCGCGTCGCGTGATTAAATGTCAAAATGTAAGTGCCTTTTGGGCCCACGCTGCGTATGCTGAATACCTTTGGCGATTAAACGGAGAGATTTTCCGCTGCGCTTTCTGCTCTTTCTCTTCCTTTGTTTCTCTCTGGTTTTCCCACCCACACATTTCGCCCTGAACTTGAACGTCTCGCGGTGAAAACAAATTGAAAACGTCGCAGAAAGAGCGGCAAAAGCAAATGGCATATAAATAAAGCCAAAGAAAAGATAAGGGGGTGCGAATGCGGGGAGAATATGGCCAAAGCCAGAAGCCAGACAAAAGGCATTTAAATCTATAATTTTCCGAACGCGCGGGCGGTCGATATGGATCAGGTTTGGAACATATTTGTAACATGGAGAGGTTAATTTTGTAATGATAAAGTTAAATTATTTACCATGTCGATTAGGTTTACATCATCACAATATAATGATCAAAAATATTATTTTATATGAATTCATTTGCTACCTTCACTCTATTTAATATTTCTCAATCACTATCGTTTACTGATAACTAGGCTCCTTCCCATAGTCCATGACGTCAATATTTTACTTCATCTATTATAAGCAGTTTTTTTTATAATTAAAGTGTTTTCGCAACCGTAGTTTTCTGATTTTGATCCCTTACCTGAACCACACCCTACATCGATCATGACTCCAAGTAACTCCTTAAATATGGCGCCGTTAACCCACCCATTAAAAATTCTGGCCAGCCGCGGATCATAAGACAACCCTGTTCCCGCTAATTCCATTCCAGGGCGTAATTCAATTCCCTTATCAAGTGTAAACATTATTTGGCGAGCCTGCACACTGATAATCGAACCGAGCAGCCCAACTACGACATCGTCTGACTGGTTCGATAAGCACTGAAAGCCACACGCGTTGGAGCACAATAATGACAAGAATGTAGATCTGAATTCTGTGTCCGAAGCATTGCACACTCTAGTCAATTCGCTGTGTAAGTTTTACTTCTTTAATTTGCCTATCGTGGATAGAATTAAACAGATATGTAGGTATATGTTTAGAACAACATATGTCGCATATGTTTTGCACAAATAACACCTTTTGCTAGAGTATGCAAATATGAACTCGCTATAAAACGGCACTCGAACAGGCACATGTGCCCTTTTAAGCACCGAGGTTCTTGCTCTGTAAAAGGTATACCAACCTTCGCGATCGCACTCCTCCAGGACGCCTTCGTAAAGCGGCATGGTGGGACTACTATCCACGCTGCTGCTAATCCCGTTGTTGTTGTTGCTGGCGACATGATTGTTGCTATAGTTGGAGGCCACAATATGATTCTGTTCCTGCGTGGGATACGGAAACACGTCTGTCGTCATCTCGTCATTCCCGGGACCATCGGTCACTACCGCTGCTGACGGCGGCTGTTGCTGATTCGCCGGAGAACTCGTCACCGGATCACAGGAAGCAGGGTACTGACTCCTTGGCCGAATGCAGCCCGCACTAAAGACACTGCCCTCGTCCGTAACAGTCAGCTGGAAATTCTTGTGCGTTCCCCGACGCGCGTCAAAGCTAACGCTGGAGTAGGTTATCCCACTGCCCTGCCCACTGGGCGCCGGACCGGCGGTGATGTCAATGGCCGATTGCGCCGATCCCGTCGGCTGGCGCAGGGTGAGATTGAGCGAGGTAAAGCTCTTGCGTCCACCGGCAGCAACTGGTGACGCTGCCGAACTTGGCGACGGTAGCGGTGGCGTTGACGTCGTCGTTGGCGGAAAGTCACTGCTGCGAAAGTCTCGCGCGTACGGTGGCTCTGGCTGGAGCGTAATGACTGAGCGATGTCGAACGGGAGAGGGTTGTTGTTGCGCTGGAACGATTGCTGTTGCTGCTGCCGCGGCCGCAGCTGTAGCCGCTGCCGTCGTCGGTGACGATAAGGAGACGGCATTGAGCGACAGCTCCGATTCGCTGGAGCTCATGGGACTGGTGAGACAGGAGGAATCGTTGGAGAAGCTGCCCGGCTTCGGTTTGGGCGGTGGCGGTAGCGGCGGCGCCCGACGCAACGGCTTGCTCAAGGACGTGGGCGTCAGCTGGGGCGGCTGGTGGTCCCTCTGTTGACGCTGCTGGCGCTGCTGGATCTTCTGCTGCAGCTGTGTGTTGAACTGACGCTGCAGATTGAGCGTGGTGGGCCGCGGCCTGGGCTGCGGATTAAGATGGGGTGTACTAGCACCTGTCGGTGTGACCACTCCATTGCTTAGCCCCACTTCCGGCTGTGGAGGCGCTGCACGCGACGGTTTCAGTGACGTGGGTGGCTTGGCCTGTTTGTTCTGTTGTTGCTGCTGCTGCTGTTGCTGTTGCTGCTGCAACACCTTGGCCGGATAGCTTTGCACTGGGATGGGATGCAGGGCTAGCTCCTTCCTCAGCATCTGGATACAATTGTCGCGCTGATGGCAATTCTCATTGACGCATTGCGTCACTATGGCATCGGGTATCGTTGGGAACTCCTGCTTCATCTCATGAAAGAGATGCATAATACTAATATTGGTGCAATGGCAGCTCGGCTTTGCCTTGCCACCGTTGTTGGATTCGTGCTGCGACTGCGTATTCGGTAGTTGGTCCAGCAGCTCCAGCTGCTCATTGCTCCCGCTGCGACTGACGGGACTGATTGATTTTGGCGGATTCTGGCCGGGACTGGGACTCTGGTTATGGTTTTGGTTCTGGTTCTTCCGCTGAAAGTGCTGATTGATTGCCTCGGTTAGGGATTGCCCTTGCCGGTAGGTTTGCCATTCAATTGGTGGGTGTTTGATCCGGGCGGCATTGGTGGTGTAGCCGCCATTTTAGGCCATCATCTATCACAGCTGGAGACCTGAGGAAAATGCAAAAACAAAAACATCGGTCAGGTGCTTGGCTCTAATTCAATTACTGAGGGGGAAAACAAATCGATTTCTTGATTCATCCACACGGGGTTATTTCACTGCCCGATTTAGAACATTAACTAAGCAGGGTTAAGAGCATTTTTTTAGCTTTGTTTCTTTTTTATTTTTTTAATAATAAAAAGGCTACGGATATGCAGAGGCGGAGAGAGATCTCTGGCGAAATGACATAGGTTATTTAAAAATATTTATGACACAACTTAGCCGTGCCATATCGTCTATATCTCGCTTTGACTGTCCAACAGAAACGGCCATTGTCAAGGATGGCGAAGATAAATTATCAGCTGCGTTATATAGTAAGCACTATCGATGGTCGGAGAAGATAAAATATTGGCGCCTCATTGTGATAGGCTAAACTATACCCATCCTTATCATCTAGAGTTACAATTTTTAAAAAGGTAATGCAAACTGTTTGCCAATTAGCAATGTGAAAAACAAATATTTATTTTCATAAATAAATTGTAAACGTTAATACCTAATATGTACATATATAGTAATTTATGAATTATTTTCTTTCACCGAATGCTTTTTTGTGGCTTCATTATTTTAACAAGAACATCAAATAGATTTTTGTTATCTTAACTTACATTTTTTAATAATGTTGTTTTTTGGTATTGAATATATATTATTCGCAATTTGCGAAACGCAAAGTTGAAATTCTAAATTATTTCAAGTATCAAAAATGTTGTTTATGTATTATATAATTTTTAAGATTATTCGGTCGATTTCAAATAGTTATCACTTCATTAAACTTGTATCGTTTCTATAAATGTTTTAAATTAATTGTCGCACTGTTGCTATTGTTTGTGTGTTATTATTTTTTAATTGTTTTTTTTTTTTTTGCGAGTAACTGTTATTATAATTAATCGTCGTATTTTCAATTATTTGCATATTCAATTTTAATTTTAGTCAAGAACAAAACTTTTAAACATGAATGTCAAATATTTTATTTTTTTGATTCGTTAACTGCAAGAATCTGTCAATGTTAACCCGCAGCGTATTTCCAAAGCTTCAGTTTATTTCGAACGCGTTGAAACGCTTTAAATGCCAGCGAAGAACTGAAAAACAAATATCAGACATTTTCGAAAATGAAAGGCCTAAAAGTTTTGAAATGATCATGAGCATAAAAGAGATATTCTAATGCTGTGTTTGTGGGAAATGTGAGAAATGTTTGAGAGAGCGTAAACAAATAATGCATACTTATCCCTATCCAAATTATTGAAATTTGGAGAATTGCAATGTAGACAATAACTTAAACCTATGTTTTAAAAGCTTATGTCTTCAGGATAATATAAAAGCCGAATAGTATAACTGGCAACGATAGTAGAAAAATAAAAGAAACCGTAACGAATCAATTAAATCATTCAATATTTTTGCCTCACCAATACTTGTCTGTAAAAGAAATTTCGCTCATTCTCTTTGGCTCTCTTGTATAAAAATAAATTTTGTGTGGGTGTTTCACACTAACACTGCAATGCTACGAAAATTGAATGAAATATTTGAAAAAAAACAACCCACCAACAAAAACGCTTCTTCCATATAGAAAACAATCTTAACGGGGAAAAAAAAAAAACAAAAAATATTTAAGATTTCCTAGCTAAGGTAAGAAAGTTGTAGACAGAGAAAATTAATAAAAACCAAAAACGAAAACCCATTAAGGGGGATAAACGTTTAATTGCTGTCCATCAGCAATCAAATGAAAATCGCTTAAATTAGCCAACGGCTTAACCAAGTATTAGAACCGCCCTCGCAGCTTTATTTTTTTCTGACACAATAAATAAAAACAAATAATAAACCGAAACCGAACCATGTCACAGACAAAAATCTATAGGAAAAATATATAATTTAGTAAAAATACAACCCACTAAATTTGCAGCGATGGCGCCTTTAAAATTGGCCAGCAAAACATAAATAATAAATTTAAATTTTTGTAGGTATATCTCTCACTTTCCAGTTGTTGTTTATTTTAAAACCCAAAGCCAAGGCAGTTTTCGCCTGTGATAACAACAATTTTCAAGTTGCCTGGGATATTAAGAAGTCATTAAAGATAAACCCCAGAGAATTATGAAAGCGATATTTTTCTTTCTTTTTGTTTCGATGTTCTTGTTGTTCCATAAAATTCCACCATCATTCTGTGGGGTACTTAGGCGAAAGAGCGGAACACGTAAATTGCGATCTGATATTTGAAAATATTTAGCGTATAAATATAAACAATTTCTCCGTTTTTGTTGGTAGGAATTTCTTAAGGAAAAGAGATCAAATTAGAGGGGAGGGGGGTCGCCCGGGAGTTTATGGGGAGGCAATGAAAATTAATTTTGTGTGCTCTTTCGATTGGTTCGTTTTGTTTGCCAGCTTCGTCTGCCTTTATTTTCGCCTTACATTTTTTTTTGTTTTTTTTTTTTTGCCTTATAGCGGGTGGCAGACAAACAACAACAAGAATGGGGCGATCGACTGCAGACGTAAACGACCTTCACAATTAGCCAGATATATGCAGGGCAGATAGGCAAGATAGAGATACACACATACATTCTCAGAGCCCAGAATGCACAAGCCAGAAAATCGGAAATCGACGTCAAATATTTCGCAGCCCCTAGTATATATAAGAAATTGAGAGTACTCGTGTGGAATGATAATGCCTTGGATACATATGCATAAATACAGCGCGGTACGCTTCTGCAAAAATGAATATACCGATATCCAAAAAAACAGCCTAACCACCGGAATAAAACCAGTAAAATTTAAGCCCTATTTTCTTCTTTCATAGAGCTTGAAAAAATCTCTTATGTTTGTTTGATTATTGATTAAGATTCAAACTGAAGCTTAAGTCCTAAATGAAATGACACATCTCGAAATCAGTTCTTGTCAAATTTATCTTGATCATTTACGTTTAGGAAGTACATAGTCTAATTTGTTCAATTGAACAAAACAAGATGTAATAATTTTAAGGAAAAAATTGGAAAAAGTTTCTTAGTCAACAAATATTTGGAAATATTTTTACCAAGCTATATGTTAGGCACAAGCCTAAAATTTTGTTTCGCACTGTTCGGGACAATATACTTATTGTACAGGTAAAAGATCATTTGTTTCTTTTTTTTAGTTCATGTTTTATTTTTTGTGTTTCCCCGAGGACACGAAAAACAAACATAAACCTGCTAAGAGCAATAATCACAAGAAAAATAAAATAAAAGTTCGCACTGTGCGCCAAAAACGAACAAAACCCAAAAAAAAAAAAAAAGAAAAATGTACAAAGTCATTAAAATTATGGCAGCCCACGATTGTTTCGTTATTTTGGATTGTGAGGGAGTAAAATTGTGTGTGGGTGGGGGCGCTGAAGGGAAACTCTTGTAATTAGTTGAGCAAAATTTCCATTCATTAAAATGCCTTTGTAAAACGATAGCGGGATAAGAAAAAAAGTTGGGGAACACACACTCACGTGTTCTTTAGCTGGTTTACCTTTTATAATCTTATGGAAATTTCTAAGAATGACATTTGGATATTAGACAGTAGCATAAACTTTTTAACCGTTAGACTTTTCTGTAATATTTTTTCCGGTAAATAATTAACAACTCAACTTATTAATTGTTTTCTCTTTTTTCAGCATTTGCTATATATTTATAGCTAAATAAACGTGTTATCTTTTTTCTATCAATCTAATAACATTGATAAAGCTTTTCGCTTAACTAGGGGATTTACAATTAAAACCATTCAAAAACTTTGAGGTATCGATGCATATTGACCGGAAATCTCGCTGTCTAGCATGTCAAAAAATAAATATATATAAATAACAAAAAATTGCCAAAAATATTTTTGTATACAAAAATAAATTGGGAAGGGAACTACATACGTACTAAAGCGTCCTTCCCGCGCCTTCAACTTGGTTTTGAAACACAAAACATATGGATAACAAGAGCTGGCAAAAAAGAGATAACCCATGAAGAGGCTGTAGTAAATAACATGGAAAACAACTTTCACTTTGTGTTGAAACAAAAAAACGACTTGAAAATTTAATGAAAAGATGGAGAAGGACGGAAAGTATGTGAATTGTGAAAATTATAAATCAAACGCAAAGACATGAAATGAAATGGAAGGAGCACACAACATCCCAAAAGACGAAAAATGGAACGAAAATAATTTTATTTTGTATTTCGTATTTGAATTTTGGTGCTCGGTTTTCTTTTTGCTTTTCTTGCCTCGCCAATAATTTGAAGAGGCGTTTTGCGGAATTTTCTGCAGACGTCAGGCCTTGACGTCATTGCCGACTTCGAGAATTAAATATGGGCATGGGAATCGGAGGAAAAATGGAGCTTGGGTTGGGTTTGGGAATGGAAAGTCAGTGTGGAACACTTCCCCTGTCTATCGGCTACAAACGTTCTATACCACGTTTATTTATTTACAATAATTATTATGATCGGTCTTTGTGGCCGACGTATTTTTCGGTTTGGACGTGTGCAAGTAATCAAAGCGGAGTTATTTTTAGTCGATGTCCAAATCCAAGCAGGTGAGGCGGGGTTAAGCGGGGGAAGCCGCCTTATCGCGACATTTATGTCTCTTCGCAACAGGGGACATACACAAGTATAAAATTCACTCGAATCAACTTCCTCGTTAAAAAAACCACAATTGTGTAGAGAATGGCGATAAGGTGGATTTCAAACAACGGGAAAGTTTTTATTAAATATCTAGTGTACAGATTCCGTATTCAGTGAGTAATTTAATTTTTAATATAAAAAGTAATTCTGTAAATAATAGCGGTAAGTACATAGCAAATTATAACATTAAAAAAAAGTGGTAACGTCATAGAAATCATGTTTGATTCAAGAATTAAAAAAAAGAGATAACAATGCCAATCATATATTGTTTTCTCTCTCGACTTTATATTTTGCACTCTCAACTGTGCAAATGCCGGGAAATTCCCGCAATTACAACAAAATCGCATCATAAACAAAAGCACAAAACGGAACAGAATAACAATATACACTCGCAAAATCATGCATGATATAAAGTTAAGCTATTTTCGTTTTAGGTTACTTTTTATATATTTATAAATCGTTGTTAATTCAACAAAAACAACTGTAGAAATGTAAAAAAAATGTCATAAAAATCCTAAGATATTATGCATAATTGTTCTCCTGTGCACAAATGAAAAAAGTTGTGAACTTGTATTTTCAATACGTAAAAAGTAGACAGAAACTACAACAAAATGCGACCGCTTATTGTTATTGATAGTGGTAGAAAATCTAAAAGCACACATAGAAAATCAATATTTGCACTTGCTGATTAGAAGCGGAGACGTGTGGGCGGGGCGGGGGATGCACACGAAAGTTCCGTTTACATATTTCCAAAAGAATTAAGGCCATTTCGAGGGAGTTTTAGCTGTTATCAACTGGCGGAAATACGTATACGTAAATACGTACATGGTAACATACAGTTACGTGCAGTCTTTTTCAGACACATTCGCAGCATTTGCGAGAGCGAAAGGGACACGTAGTGGCTGTGTTAACGGCACAAGATAAAAACCAGCTACGGCCAGTGTGGGAGCAAGACAAAGAGAAAAGAAAGAGCGCGTGAGAGAGCATAAAACAGGTGACATTGGCAGCTACGCAATAGTAGATAAAAACTAAAATAAAAAAACGATCGATTTGAGAAGTAAAATTATGTGAAACTTTAAAGAGTTGCCCCCCCTGTAAAACGTATTCACCACTTGTTGACTGTCTGTTCAATGTGTTTATTTATTTCTTTTATTTGTTGCACTTTAGCGATCTACTTGTGTGTGTGTGAGTTGTTTTTCACAATTTGTTATTTGCACACAGAGAAGGGCGACCCACACCTGTGCATTTGGTATCAGTGTATGTGTCTGTCAAGCAGGAAAATAAGAAATAAAAAAAACTCAGAGAATCGAAAATTGTATCCTTTTTTCGCTTTTTGCACTCACCAAATAATTAAAACTCCCCGCACGTTCGCTGATTTTCCTTTGTTGCTTCGCTGCCTTTTGTTTATTTTCTAGCATTCAATATTGTGGTTTCGATATTTTGGTGCTTTTCACTCTGGCTCTTTTTGGCACTTTTCTTTCTCGTTTTCTTCGTTTGCTCTGTTTTCGTATCGTTTTCCACACACTCACAATTCCATGCACAATCAAAGCAAAACTTCGACTTTGTTTCAATAAAATTTTAAAAATTATTAATCGCACTAAACTTAATTAAACGTATTTTTCACGTCACGTCGTTCCTTCGATCGCGATCATAAAACAGCAGTGTGACCAGACCGGGAGAGCAGCACGATACAGTGAGGAAAAATAAAGTGGGGAAAAATATCTAAAAATATAAGAATACTATGATTTCAAAACGTAAAAATTGTTCAAAAGTTTTTAATTGACATTTTATATTTCGAAAAATGGGAAGATACATAACAAAACAAAAATTTGAAAAAGAGCGCCAATTTTGTATAGTTTTTAAGGATGTGGTATTTTTTGTTTTTGAAATGGTGGCAGCGCAGTGTTGAAAAACTTGCCCACGTGTCAGTGCTGAAAAGCGCCGAGATCCCGTTTGATTTACAATTTGGCATTCGAAACTGTTGTTTCTTAATTTTCCACAAAAATAAAAGTGCCCCAAAGATGAAGACTACACCGAAAAAGAAGGAGACGTCCCTGCGCCTGCGTGAGGCGAGGCGTGAGGAGCAGAAGCCGGAGACGAGCCAACAGACGCCGGACGACGATGCGGATTCGGATTTGCCCATTCGGGGACGTCCGTCAAAAAAGCTGCTGCTCCAAAAGCAACAGCAGCGTCAGTACCAGGGCAAGTCGGAGCCGGAGGGCAAGACGGTCCCAGCTGTAGTCTACTCAAAGGCTTCTACCTCCTCGGCTGCTCTCATCGGCGGACGCATCAAGGGCAGAAGAGTTCTTTACAAGAAAACCGGCGGCGGCGGTGGATCAGCCCAAAAGACTCCCGGAGAGTCTTATGTCATGCGGCTGTTCGAGCGCAGCTTGGACCTCTCAAAGTACCAGGACGGCACTCCTTTGTATCCCATTTGCCGTGCCTGGATGGCCAATCAACCTAGGAATCCCGCTGTAGCGACTTTTCAGACGGACGGTTCAGTGACGCCCGTTAAACGCGAGGACAACGGTGAGGAGATCCTTTCCAGACTGCGCAGTGGTGAACTCAAGGTGCTCACCCAGTTACCGCAGGCAAAGTCTACGGATCTACCAATCATCCCGCCTCGCCTGGAATTTGGTCAGGATGAAAAGGAGCGGGAGAAGGCCCTCGAGGGAGCAAGTGCCTCCGATCTATTGGCCTCCAATGTGGCCCGTTGGAAGAAGGTGCGCGGCCACTGGCTTAAGCATACCCAAAAGTACGATCAGGAACGCTATGAAGTTATTGACGCTATTATGAACGTGGTCTGCAAGAATTGAAGTTTCATCATGGAAGATGTGAAAGAGAATAAAATAACATTAAATAACAAGGACGGATTGTCATCAATGGAAAGCAAAAGACTTATTTTATTCCCATTAACTTGAGTAAACGTTTATTGGTTATTTAAAGATCTAATTTAAAATAATAAGTGAATGCTTAGGGAATTTTTCGTCAATGGCTTCAAACAAAAGCGCTAATATTTTTTAATGTATCGAAATAAAAACTTTTTGTCGAAAAACTAAAATATAAAATTTGAAAATACATACATACATATGTAGTTTTTAATTTAATTTTTGAAAAAGGGGCAGCAATGGACTCTGTAAGCCAGGGTTGCCAGCTCGGATTTTATAAAAAGGCGTAGGTCAGATAAAGAAAGTTATGTAGAAATGTGAAATTGCAATACATATAAAAAATACGTAGATCTACGTACTTTTTTTCTGAGGGAAATTAAGAGAGTAGGGTAGGTAAAAGTAAATAAAATGACAATTTATATTACCCTAAAAGTATTGGACAGCAAACAAACAACAAATTTAAAAATAAAAAAATCTATAATTTATAGATCTACCAGAATCTCATGGCAAATAAGCCAAACTTTACATGCAAATATAAAACCATCTATTTATTTATTAACAGTAAATGATCTGTTTTATAGATATTTATATATTTGCCACCAGACGACTGCAATAATCGGCACATCACATGCAAATACGGTCACTCAGATCCGAATTTGTACTACAAATCGCATCTTTAATTGTTAATAACAAAAAAACGGGGAAAAATTTTCACTTTCCGTCAACGGACTTCGAAGTTTTAGAAAAAACCACATCGTTTCCATATTTTACTTTATTTTTTTTAAGCTGTATTTACCGTGCACCGCACTTGTAAACAATTACCGTTCATATGACAGCTATATGATATCAGACGACTAGATTTTGATGAAATTCAAATCATTTTTTTTTTCTCGTTTCAAGGGTAGTTAAAAAAGGTGATATTGTAAAAATCATGCTCCTGGAATAAAAAACAACGTTATAATTTTTTTCCAATATATATGATAGAGTTATCCGATTTCGATAAAATGTAATGCGAAATTTAATAGTAGTTAGAAATCGCCATCTGGAAGAAATCAAGTCGATCTGATCAAAAACAACGGCGTTAGAATTTTGTAGTTGGGAGCTATCCTATATAGTCGTCCGATCCGGCTCGTTCCGACTTATATACGTGCAACAACTACATAAGTTTTGGGAAAGTTTTAGCAGGATAGCTATATAACTGAGAGACTAGTTTGCGTAGAAACGGACAGATGTACAGACGCATTTGGGTTCAGATCGTAATGGTGATCAAGAACATATATACTTTATGGGGTCTGAAGTGTCTCCTTTACTGCGTTGCAAACTTCGGAGTGAAATTATAATACCCTTTACTCTGCAAGGGTATAAACAGAACACAACCTGTTGTTATTGACTTGAATAAATGTTTATTTGTATGCGTAGAAGATGCGTTCCCATTGCGGTTAAATTAGTTCTAGTTTAGAGCTGGATTGTGAGTTATCATTTATATTGGGTTGGCAAATGCAGCTGGATTGTTCTGGTTCCGGTTTTGGTGTTGGTATTCCGTGCGCCGGTCCGTCAACCCCTTGGATTTTTTTAGGGGTATACACAACAGTCGGCTTGGCTTGCACTCGCTTATTCGACCTTGAGCAGCTCCACGTCGAAGGTGAGGGTGGAGTTGGGCGGAATAACGCCGGGGTGGCCGCGGCTGCCGTAGGCGTAGTCCGGTGAGCAGATCAATTTGGCGCGCTGGCCGACGCTCAACTGGGCGACTCCTTCGTCCCAGCCGCGGATGACCTCGCCCTTGCCGATGGTGAACTTGAAGGGCTTGTTGCGGTCGCGCGACGAGTCAAACTGCAGATTGGGAATAACTTTTGATTAGCCTGGATTTTTGAAGGTCCCCTATTTGTATTCACCTTGGTGCCATCGTCCAGGGTGCCAGTGTAGTGGACCGTAACCTTTTGCCCATTCTTCGGGAAGGTGCTGCCTGCGGGCGGGGAATACAAAAATGGATATGTGTGAGCGAGACGACCCTATTGCTGCGTGTAATTTTCCGACTTCTGCATCATGAATATGCAGTTCTTAGGTTAGAACTGCCGGTATTTTTATGATTCTCTCGGCGCATTTTGCCTCAAAACTCCTTACTCACCATCACCGGGAGCAATTGGAACAACTTGTACGCCCATTTCGATTAGTTTTTATCTGGTAAAATCCCGAGCGGAAAATAAGCACGTTGGTTTCAGTTCGTCGCGTCGCCTAGAGATGGCCAAAGCAGTGCGATACTTTCAACTTTCAAACGATAGTATGAAAAGGTAATACTTCGGAATTTTGACTCCAGGTATATTTAAGCCCCAAAAAAATTTGCGCACCAAATCAAGGGTTTTTTCATAAGATAATAACCCCCTTAGGAGGGGCTAAAGGTTTTTTACCTTGGAAAATCGAAATTTCCTCGAAAATCAGCCGAAAACTATTACATGCACGTCATGCATTTCAGCGCTAAATAAGCGGAAAAATGACTCTAATTTTTTTGGACAAGTATAAAAACAATATTAAATGAACGCGTGCACCGTGTGCGCGCCTCACGCTGTTTTTCGTTAAAATTTCAATTTTCCAAGGTAAAAAACCTTCAGCCCCTCCTAAGTGGGTTATGATCTTATGAAAAAACCCTTGATTTGGTGCGCAAATTTTTTTAGGGCTAAAATATAGCTGGAGTCAAAATTTCGAAGTATTACCTATGAAAATATTCAACCATTATAGTTTGTCTCTATTGACACATTATTTTTTCAGAAAGTACATAGATTGCAAGATTTGCAAGACCATTTGAATTTTTTGACCTAAGCTGTCAAAAAGAACGCCAATAGATAACCGGAGTATATTATCTAGTATTTGTAAAAACATTGTACTAATATTTCAAAAACATGACTGTTTTCCTCCAAAAACACCGTTTGTGAGAAATCTGTAGATTTCTGTAGAGATTATCCTCGATTATAATTCTCAGCCCTAGCAAATACACACGTTCTTGTCCAGCCCTAGCGAATTCATGCTTCAAACCATATAAAATTTCTTCGACATTTTTCCAACATCCACTACGGTCACACTGCGATCCATTCTTCAAAAATATTTACAAAAATACGGGTAGTTTTCTTATTTTCAATCTTAACAAAAGAAGGAATGGCCTGTGAGCTAAGCAGAACTGGTTGAGGCTTGGGAAGACTGGCAAAACTCCCTTCTGCGCGTTATTAGCCACAAGGAGCAGTCGTTCCCCTCCAGAATGCAGGATGCCGAGGCACCGGATCCAGAACCCAGCAGCACAGAAGAAAATTGCCTCCCCGAAAATGGGAGCCGTAAAGATCAGGAGCAGAATTCGGTAGAGGCTGAACGGGAGGCTGAAGCCGACGGAGCCACCTGCACAATTTGCGGGGCTGCAAAGGCCTCAGCACTCTTGGATTTGCGCTCCAATCATGTGATGCAACGTCGCCTGAGTCGGGACTGGAAAATCCACGTAAGTACTCAAATTTATATGCCACCGGCTGACTATTTAAACCAGTATCGTTCCCAGGCCGATGTAATTCGTTCCACCTTAAAGGCCATTTGTGTGGAGTGCGTTTGCAAGTTAAACATGCATTCAGAGGTCACTCGCTCACTGATGCAGCGCATGCAGCGGCTGCAGCGTTCCGGGGGAGAAACCACCACGGTGACCACAACCACGACTTCCCCCAGCCAACACAGTCCACCGATAGCTGATGCAGAGGTGTCCACCACTCTGATCGAAGGCCAGGAGGAGGCAGCCGAAGCCGGAGCAAGTTCGTACACCCCTCGCTCCTCCTGTTCCGTTTTGGAAGTCTACCTTGCTCAGCAACCCTATTCGCCAACGGCCAAGGAAGCGGAAGAAAAGCAGGCAGATGGCTGGAAGTGGCGAACGCGGCTTGAGTGCCAGGAATGCGGCAGGGCCTACTTTCGGCGGGATTACTATGCACAGCACTTAAGGCGCTGCAGCAAGTTGCGCAGGGCACAGCCGCGGCCACCGCGTGCAAAGTGTCGTGTGCTGAATGAAGCCAGCTGCGACGAAGAAGCACCTTCCAGAGTCACCCGCTCTTCGCGCATCTATTACTGTCGCCATTGCGACGACGAGTTCGACTCGATGATCGGTAAGCGGCAGCACGAGAGGTTGAAGCATAAGCAGCGTTTTCCCTGCGATTTGTGTGAAGCCCAACTGGACACCAAGTACGAGTGGGAACTGCACCACACCATTTGCCAGGCCAAGCAGGAAGTATGACAATTGTTTCCCTTCCCAGAAATCAGTTTTATTACACTTCATAACCTTCACCCTACAGGCTTTAATAATCTTACAAGAACAGGAATCAGGACTAGCGGCAGAATCTCGAACTCATTCCATGCGGTCCCGCTCACGAGCCTGTTCTGAAGCGTGGGACAAGTATGATGTGGATGATAGAGATGCAGAAAACGATGAGAACGATAGTTACGAGGAGGAGCCGGATGAGGGCGAGGATGATCAGGAAGAAGGCGACGATGACCAGGAGGACGCCATGTACACGCGTCGCATGAATTTCACCGGTGACTGGATCGTAAACCATAGCCGAAGCAATAGCAATAGTGCCGCGAATCTATCCCATTTATATGACGAGTACGGACTGGGTGAAACGCACATGACCACCGACAAGGAGTACGGTAGGTCTTCCAGTGTTAAGGTTACAAAATGATGTATTAAAACTCTTTTCATAACATTGCAGATCTCTACCTGCTCGATCTGCTGAAGAAGCAGGTGAGACTAAAGGCATTCTCGTGTTTTACGCCATCCTGTGGCTATCAAACGGACACGCTTGTGGCTCTAATGAAGCATGACTACATGGAGCACTGGAAGATGAGCTGGTTCTACTGTCACAAGTGCGGCGATGTCTTTACGAGCAAGTACGTAGAGGCAATGTACCAACTATACTTTGAAATTATTTAACTAATCTATGAATATATTGTTACTATATATTAAACTACTTTATCTGTTCTGCAGGGTTTTCCTGGACTACCATTTGCATCTGCAGAACCGTGGCCTTTACATCTGCCACAAGTGCCGCGATGAGTTCGAGTTGCAGCACCAGTTGGACCGCCACTTCCAGCTCCACAGAAAAGGAATCAACTACCACTGCAACTTCTGCCGCCTGGAGTTCCTCAGCGAGGCCAAGCTGCTGGCCCACTGCAAACTCCGGGGACACAGTCCCAACGATGAGCCCCTGATCAGCATAGACCGTTCGCTTTCCATAGTCAACTGCCATGCGTCCCAATCACCGGACAGTCCACGAATATCGAAATCATATGAAGAGCGGGAGTTCTATATTCCGAGAATTAAGGTGCCATCAATGCAGCCCATGCATTTGCCGCAGCACAAACCCTTTCGCTTCGCCATCGGCATCTGCGATTTCGAGGAGAAGAACCCCAACTGCGTGGGATGCCATTAAGTCCACGATCGACATTAGTTTCATTTTATGTCTTTAATTAAAATTTGTATTTTTCTATCATAAATTGAAATTCGAGTTTTGTATTTGATTCTTCAGTCAGTTTATTTCGCGTTCTTTACATAATGAAAGTCGGGTGTTAGGGATAATTTAAATTGCAGTACAATTCGGATTACTTAAAACTAGTTTTATAATTCGCATGTGGTATGTGTGGACTATGATGCTATGTACAGAGTTACTCGTATAACAATTTAACATTATCGACCGTACGACTATATAGTTGTATAAGTGTAGGTGTTTATAATTAAAGAGCCTATTGCATTGCCCCCAGCGCATGTTTTCATTCGTTTTTTCGTTTTGTTTTGTTTTTGTTTTGTTTGCCTTACAGTTTAGTTGCGGTGCTTAAGTTTAGTCGGTGGCTTAAAACTAATCAATTTGCGTGGAACTTACAGCTATTTAACTAAGGATCTCGATTCGTAATTAAGTTTAATTTGTAATTTAGTTTAATGCGTGTGCTCTTGCTCGTGGTACGTTTTGAGTCGGTGTCAGTCTTATAAATTCAACCCAGGACGATTACTATATCTCGCTAACAGGATAACATGAGGCCAACAAAGATACGCTGTTTGAGGTAGTTTCTGTTTCAAGTGGGGATTTTCCGTTCTCCTTCTCTCTGCTTTTCTCTTCTCAAGTCGAAAATCATAAAGTTAAGGCCACGTACATGCGTTCCACATACTGGTCGTTATAAATAATCTAGTGCTAATAATTTTTAAAACAAATCACTGGCATTTAACAAGGTTGTACAACGTGTAGCTATTCCAATGGGAGCCTCTTCTGCTCTGTCCTAAAACTCCATTTCCATCCATCTCGATCGGATCCCGGCTTCAGTCTCATGTAGGCGGATTAACATACATACATATATCTTGGTTATTTTTGCTTGTCAGTGGGCAGGGATCCAAATCTAAGATGGCTGAGCTGGTTTTAAGGCCTACAACTAGCTGGTTTCCAAAGATGGCCTACGAGTGCCTACGAAATCTACACTAACCTAATCCCTAGCCTATGTTTCTATATCCTAACATTTCTGTTTTTCATTTTCTTTAGGCACAAAGTGATGCTGACAACAATTTCTATATATATGCTATATATATTTTAGTGTGTGGGTTTGATTTTCGATGGGTGGTGGCTGGGTGCCAGGTGCTGGTGCGGATGCGGATGATTCCCACAACGACTGGGACAATGTTTCTTCATTTAAAGCTTCACCAATATTGGTCGGCTTCTGAGTAGCCGATCCCGAGGAGAGTAACACAAGGATTCACAAGGTTCAACAGGGGATTGGATTGGATTGGAGGAGTAGGAGTTGCTAACTATCTAAGCCAAGGAATCGAGGCTGTCCGTGGCATACTGCCAGGCCATGGTGAGCGTCAATCAGTCGGCCCGAGCCTGCGCCTCCTCGCTCTCCAGCAGCTCTCGCTTCAATCCCATGGGCACGAATGGAGGAGATCCCGGATACTCCTCATGGTCCTTGCCATTGGGTGGTGGTGCACTACTGGCGTGCATGATCACCCCGCCGGCGGAATCTCCTCCTCCTGGCTGCGGGGAGTAGGGCGAGTGGGGTCGCTCCTTCCGCGCCAGCGACAGATCTTCGACGTGCTCCTGCTCCTGATCCTCCTCGTCGTCCGCATCCTCCCGTTCGTCCTGGTCGCGCTCCCGCTTGATCATCCGCTGCTCGTGCTTCTCCATCTCCAAGTCCATGGCCTCCTGGTCGTGCGAATAGTGACGACCCTGCGGACTCGGCGAACGCATCCCGTGGCCATTGGAGCGCTGATCCGTCTCCGCCGGACTGGCCGACAGCCGATTGGCCGCGGCATGGGCGGCGGCGGCCAGAGCCATGGCATGGAGCGCCTCGCGTCCGGCCATGTCGCCGCCTCGGTTCTCCAGCGCCTGCTGCAGGAAGGCGTGATCGAGGAGCGCTGCCGCCGAGGGCGGAATGGTGGGCGGCATCCCGTGATGGGCGGGCACATGGTCCGTCTTCCCATCCCGCTTCACCTCCGAGTGGTGGCCATGCCCGTGTCCATGCCCGCCGTAGTTATGAGCCGCAGCTGCAGCAGCCGCGGAGTAGGGGAATCCCTGAGAGGATTCCGCACCCGGTGGACTGCGCTTCGGGGTGCGATGGGTGCCGCGACCCGTGGTGATGTTCAGCTTGCGCACCTTGTCGTAGAGGGTGCGACTGGGCAGACCGTACTTGCGGCTCGCCTGGAGGGCGCTCATCCCTTCGCGCACCGCCTGGATGGCGCACATCATGTCTGCCCGCGTGTACTGCTTGTAGCGCTTCCACTCCGGCTTCTTGCCGCCCGACTGGCCGGTCTCCTCCTCGAACGAGCGGTCCGTGTAGGGGGACAGCGGTTCCTTGTCGCCGCCGTAGTCGGAACCATTGAAGCTGTGATTGCGCTCACCGCCGACGCTTCCACCACCACCACTCACTCCCAATCCGGCTGGAAGTTGGCTGCTCTGGTGGGGATGCGTGGGCGTCTTCTCGCCGTTGGTGATCATCGTGGGTCCGGGTTGCGAGGAGTCAGCGGGATTGGCCTGGGCGAGGACGTTGCGCAGGATGGGCGTGTCGCGGTTGCCACTGAGCAGCATGCTCGAGATGGCCGACAGCTTCTTGCGCTTGAGGGGATTCATGTCGGCGGCGGATTCGTAGACGGAGTTCAGCATGGCGGCGGCGGCGGACGGTGTGAGTGGCCACTGGCCACCGGATTCACCCGCTCCCGGCGCCCCCGAATGCGGCGTGGCCTGGGTGGGGGTCAGTGGAGCATCTCCGGCTGGCATTGGACCGCCCGGCAGATGCGGCTGCTGCTGCTGCTGCGGATAGTGACCGAAACCGGGCTGATAGCCAAATTGGGGTGGTGGTGGTGGCGAACAGCTGCTCGAGATGGCGGCGCTGGGCGAGATGTGTGTGGATGTGGAGATCACGGACGAGGAGTGATTGGATGAGGACCCATTCTGGGGCTTCCCCTGCCCAGCCGATGAGCTGGATGATGTGGGCGTGGCACTGGCATGGTTGAACTTCATGAGATTGTCGTACAGACCCTTCACCTGCAGCTCCTTGGCGGTGCGCAGGATCTCCGGCTCCTGGCTCTTGGTGACCGTCGTCTCACCGGTGTACATGTACTGCAGCAAGGCGGCAATCTCGAATCCCTTCACACCCGGCAATATAATGCTGCAGTGGTCCTGCGGCACATCCTTGAGGATGTGCTGGAAATATGGCGAATTGGCTGCCAGGACAACGCGATGTGCCTGGAACTGCTCATCATCCACCACCAGACTGCAGTCCACATAGCTGCCCACCTCGTGGAGGGCGTGCAGGATCTGGACCAGATTCGTCTGGTGGTTGTTCCAGCGCAGGCAGTACGTTTGACCCACCTCGCCGCTGCTGGCCACCGGCGCCGTGGGGCCGCCCATCTCCCGCTCGAGCTGCTCCTCCTCCTGCTCCTCCCGCTGCCGCAGCTGCGCCTCCCGATCCCTCGACTCCCGACTCCTCTGCTGGTGGCTCAGCCTGGAATGGTGGTGGTGGTACTGCTGTTGGTTGTGGTGGTGCTGCTCCTGGTGGTGCTCCTGGTTTGATGGCTGGTGATCGGACTCCTCGTCCGGAGCGGGATCGCTGCCGCTGCCGCTGTGGTTGTTGTTGTACACACCGTTCAAACTGGTGAAGGCGGCGCTCAGCAGCGTCGGCGAATAGAAGGATAGATGCTTCCTGACCTTGAGCGCCAGTTTAAGGCCTACGGATCACCAGGTTGCCTTTATTTATATACGAAATAAAGGAGAGAGAGCAGAAAAAATGCCAATTAGTATATGAGTTCTCTGCCCGGATTGTTAGCAGGATTTTGGCAAATGTCAGAGGGTTGGAGAGGCAAATTTCAAATTTCGCATGGGTTGCTAAAATCAACAGGAACAAAAACGACGACACACAGTCGCTCACAAAAATTTGGGAAATGGAGGCCAGGAAGTCAGGTGTGCGAAATTGGGGATGGTTCTGTCCTTCTCCTTCTCTCCTCTACTCCACTTCACCATTTCCATTCCTGCTTCCTTTCCGTTTTTTATTTTTTTTTTTGCGGAAAATCTTGCTTGTAAAATTTATGCCCTTCGCCACCCCCTGAAGTTTTATGCGCCATAAAAAAGTGAAAGTGAAATCGGCAGCGGGCGGGGGTGGGTGGGTGGTGTGGTGTGGTGGCGGGGAAAACGTGTAGGAAAAATGGGGGAAAAAAATATGCAAACATCCCTCGAAAGATGTGTGCGCGTATTTTTCCGGCTGCTTTTCGCGCGTTTTACTTTTACGCATACATATTCAAATCTATATGTATAATATCAGGCTTTCTTTCTGTTTTTTTTTTGTTTTTTGCCACCGCCGCCTGGAATCGGGAAATGGAAATGGGAAGTCACGGAAAATAAGGGAAAATCGTAGCTGACAAAACTTGCAATAATTTTCATTCATTTTGTGTACGAAAAGTAAAGTAAAATGGCAGGGGGAGCGGGGCTGAAGGGCAGGCCATATGCCCTTGTCCTTGGCATGACTTCAATTTTAACTCGGGCTGTGGTCGAATTTCCAACTCAAGTGGACGCCATATGCTGGGATCCTGGCGTCATGTGTTGGCCATTCGTCAAGGAGTTCGCATCCCAGAACGCGGCCATGTGTCGTGTGTGAATCTCCAGTTACCAACAGGTAGAGATAGTTGAAATGGCACAGGATCCGCAGCAGTCTCCCCCCAAAAACGATAATGGCAATCAAACAACAACAGGGAAATGTCAAAGGGGCGAGGCCCCGTAAAAATATAAAAACCTGAAGGTATATGGCAAAAAATAGAAGGAAAAGAAAAGAAGAGCGGACAACCAGACAAAGGCGGCAAACAAACGATCGCATTATTGTCTGCGGAAAATGCGCAAGAGATCATCAATTGTTGTCTAGCCATTGTCTCGCCGGCAGGATAATGGGCAACCTGCGGAGATCCCTATTTCGATCCCACTCCCGATTTGCGCAACACTCCGAATCGAGCAGGTAAGCGGTTTCGGATATTCGGATATTCCGAAATAAGCGCATTAGTTGCGGTTATAATAATGCTATAAAGGCTCGATGCTTTAACGCCTCGAAAGCGTGGAGATCGGAGATCGCACATTGCGCATACGACACGATCGCCAAAAGACGAAAAGCTTTCGGGAAAAAGCTTTGGCCAACTTTTGCTAACAGCGCTCGCCAACAGCGGCCACCATTTTGTAAAAAATAAACGCTTAATTAAAATTATCACAAACGTCATTGAAACGAATGCACTTGGGAACCGGTTTCAAGTCTAGGGTTTCCAGTTTTTTTTGTTGTGTCAATTTTTTGACACGTATCAGACTTCAAACTTGCGAAATTATAAATTTAATTCGGAATTAAAAAGGTACGGGAGGCCTACGAAGTCGAACTGCTAAAAATAATCCACTTAATCGATTTTTGAGTTTCTCAATTGTGTTTTATTAAAGCTAGATTTTCGATTTAATTAAATTTTTTTAATCAGAAAACAAGAAATGTAGGAAACTTGAATTTAACCATCAACGATTATTTTGAATTTTTGCCATAAATGAAAACTTGTTTCAGCCAAAGAGGTTTGCTGGTATTTTCTTAGTTAATTAATTGAATTCAATTCTTACCACAAAATAGTGAATATGCCGCAGATGGGGCACAGTATCAAAAGTGCAAGGTGGCCTAATTAAATTGCCTGGACACTTGATTTGCAATCAGTTTTTTATGTTTTTGGTTTAACTCTTAATTAAGAGTTAGTAAAAGTTTTTAATTTGTTGAAACTTTTTCACATTATCAGAACAGAGTTTTAATAATTGTTGGATTGTTTTGTTATTCGGTTTGCCGCTCCACACACACATGCACAAAACACGACGTTGCCAAAAATATTATATATTTTCCAAGAAACTGCGACACGTTTATCGTTTTTTCCTTGAGTTTTTCGCTCGCCTTAAGATTTTGATTTTGGGGGAATTTTAAGAGTTTTGCGTGCACGTTGTTGCAGATTCGAGCGCTCAAACTTGAATAAAACTGCCACGGTTTTCGTGTGCAGCAAGTCATTGAAGACCAAATTTCCCGAGCGATGCGAGAGCGGGACGGCGACAGCCGGGAGAGCGGATGAAAAACTGTTCGAAGACGGCGGGGAAAACTGTGCTACAAATCGCTCCGTCACTTTTCCACCCTCGCGCCCTCTCTTTCGCGCATGTTGCAGTTTTTTGCGCTTGCACTTGGCTCTCTCTCTCGCTCGCTGGCACTCTCCTTCTTACTGCCTTTCTTTTCCTCTCCCCTTCGCGTTTTTTTTTGTGCGTGCGTATGAATGCGTGTGCGTGAGCGAGATTGCGATTGCAAGTGTGTGGGTCCTGCATATGGCTGCTGCCATTGGACCCAGTTGGTGCGAAAGGGAGCCAAATAGTTGCAGTGTCCCCCTCGTTTTTTTGGCGACTGCATTTTTACTTCGGCTTTTTGTAATACTTGAATTAAGCAGGTTGTCCGTTGCGTGAAAAACTGGTCTCGGGTTTTTCGTCTTCCGATCTTTACTATTTTATTCGACACCCTTTCCCCTTTTTCCCTTTCCCGCATTTGTCGCCATTTTGAACTGGCATTTCATACATTGTAGCCTGGCCTTTAAGTGGATTTTCAATTTTCCTTGCTTTTCTTTTTTCGTTGTTTTTCTTCTGCGACTTCTTAGTTATGCAAATGTGGAAATAAAAGTGCAGATAAAGTAACGACCTTCGGCAATCAATGCATTATTGAATGCATTTTCGGGCTGCAATGCGATAAATTTGCATACGGCTCGACCTTCGACCCTTTGGACAATCACCCTTGGATTTCTTGATTTTTTATGCAAATTGCAAAATAACGGTCGAAGCGGTTTGAGTTTTGAAAGGGTTACAAATAACAATCGGTAAATTCGGAATTTCTAATTATGATGCAAATTATGCAAGGCACCTGTAAAATGTTTTCGTGATTTTAGTTAAAAAAAAAAAAAAACAGCCGAAGGGTTTGAAATTTTAGGCGATTAGGAATAAGAAATTTGAAGAGTATTGAGAATTTTCATATTGTTAACTTTCCGACCTCTGTAATCTTTTTGGCTTATTAGAAAGTTTAATTTTCAGATTTAAAATAAAGTAGTAGTATAAAAAGATTTAAATATGGTTCAAAAAAATTCTAGATTACAAACAGAACTTTTCCCTATTTGCAATGGTCAACTGTAGCAGCCAAACTCCACACTTTTCTCCGCAGAGCTCAACTTACATTTTTTAATTGTTCATCATTAGTTTTTTCATCGTTTCCTCTGTGTATCTGCCCCCCGGTTTCCCCTCCGCCACCACTTTGGGTTGCCAAACCCATTAATCATGTTTGGAAATTAAGGTCAACCGCATTTCACGGAGTCGTTTTTTCTGTTCGCTCGTGTTTTCGAATGCATTTTTTGGCAGGGCCGCAAGATCGGCTGGCAGTTATACTATCTTCGCTCCGAAGCCCCAAAACTAGTTCGCAAGTGCATTCACCTCCCCCCGCCCCCGCGGAATTCAGCTCGAAACTGATAGTGCGAGAAATGAGTGGTAAGCACGGGCATAAAAAAGCGGAAAGTGCCGCAACTTCGGGCTCCATAATCTGGACTCGAACATTTGTGGACGAGAGCCCGGGGCTTTACTCTTTACAACAATATATTTATAAGAGTCCCGACCCCTTTGTCCACTTGTAATCTTATCATCATTTCCCCCAGCGCCTGTCAATGTCCCAGTGAAAGTGTAAAATGTGAGTTACAAGAAGCTGGAATACCCTTCCCCTTAGAAAATCATTTTTCATTTGGAAAATTTTATTTTTAGCAATATCAAATCAAATACATTTATTTGAAAATGGTGATTATTGAAAAATTTGAATTTAACTTTAACTTTTAACTTTTTTCAATGTCTCATTTAAAAACATTTTCTCATGATTTCAATTTAATTGCAAATTAATAAAGATACTTTCGTAGTCCGTAAAAATTCCTTACAATGGCACATGTGTCAATCACTGAGAATTTCCTTAAATGGATTATCCTCTGGTCAGTGTTGACTTTGCTGACTTTTTGACTAACGTCTGAGGATGTGGCTAATACCGGAGATGAAGACGTTTCCCCGGCTCAAAGCCACCGCTCATTATGGGGGATTAGCAGAGAGAAATCCGCACATAATCCAACCACAAGGCAGTCACTCAATGAAGTGAAGGACTCTTAATGAACTGGAGGAATCCTTGAATCTACCTGCCTGCAATCGTGTTCGACATGGGTGGATCCTTGCAAAAAAAAATCGAGGAAACAAAAGAGCCCCTAAAATGATTTAACAATCAAGTGATTTTTTGTTCTTAAAGCAGCTCTAATTTGCAGTCATCTGCTCAAAATCGCATTGTTCTAAAGTGCTTCTTATCACCTCGGGAAATTTTACTTACATTTTGCGTTTGGATTTGCATTTCGTATTTGTGTTTGCAAACTGCACGACAAATGTTTTTCCTCCAGCGCATTTTTGCGATTATTATTATCAGCTCTTTGTGTCTGGTCAGCATATGGCAATAAAATCTCCAGAACCTTTGACCTGCTGCTCAACATTTCAACATTTTCGATCCTTGCGAAAGGGTTTCGGATTTTATGGTTTTACGACTTTTCGCAAAAATGTGCCAAAATAGTTCGATGGAATGGATGAAGGGATGGTTTACGATCGTTAACCCTTTGCCCTTTGGTCATTATCATTCAGCGACTATCGTCGAAAATATTTGCATGCGAAAGAAGGAAGCGAAAGGATTTTTCCGGGAACTGTCTTCCCTTGGAATTCAATCAATGTCTGGGGCAGCTTAATAGCAGCAATTGTCATGCAAAATAAAAAATGAATGCAAAAAATGTGTTTAAATTTCCCGGCATTTCCCATGCAACCCTTTACCTCAACGTTGAACATCTTCTATTTTTACCTGAGAAATGTTCAAAGGTGGTCTGAAATTTGACTGCTGGCTGCTGCTGCTGAGTTTCTTGAGCATTTTCAGTTGCTTGAAGTGTCGCCTCTTGTAGAATCTTTGAAGTAGCAGCGGCACGTGAAAATTCTCTCCAACACAAAGGCAATTAGCGCGGCTCAAAGGAAAACAGGAGCCGCCGCCTATAATGGACAATGGGCAGCATGCTGAGTTTAGTCCAGTGACAGGATCGGCAGGACCTGCCATAAAGATCGCAGCTCGCACTCCGGTGCTAATGGAGGCGAAAATTTAGTGATATCTCTCCCCATTCCTCTCAGTGTTTACACATAAATCAAGCAGCGGAAGGGCAAAAATACGAAAACTATCTAGCAGATACACATTACACTAAGCATAAATAGGGATAAAATAATATTATGTAAAAATGTTGATTGAATTATTAAATTAAGGCCCCTCTAGCCCTCTTAGTAAGAAACTTATATTAAAAATATTTGTTTTCAATAAAACATTAAAATTTTGTTTCTTTAAGAAATAGTGTTTTGAATATGATAACAGTTCTTTACAAAAAAAAGTGATCGCAAATTTTCCACGTCAAATATATCTGCATTATTTCTTATTTCTTAAATATACAAAATTTTCGGATATAGTTTTGTGTGTGTGGGTAGAGCAACAGTCAAAAAACAAACAAAAACTGCAGGCAGGGGAAATTAATAAAAAAATGCAACAAGAAGACCACGAAAATATACGAAAAGAGAGAGGGAAAATTAGACAAATACGAAGCAGCGGAGAAACGAAAACGGTGGAAATTTATCGCGCGCGTCATTCGCTGCAACTATGGAAAGTGGCACGTAGCCAGCGACTTCCAAAAGCGATGGTGGTGTTGGTGTGTCCGCAGGAGGGGGGTGGGGTGGCACTGCCACGGCGAGAGGGGGGAGAGGGGGCGGACCACGAATGGGTCATTGCACTTTTGCAACGCACACACAGATACAAAAGCATAGCACCAGCACAGATACAGATACAACAACAGCAGATAGCTAAGCAAAAGGCAACATTTCAACGAGAATTGTGTAAAAAAGGCACGAAAAATTAGGCGAAAGCAAACAGAAAGAAGGCGAGACGGGGAGAGAGAGGGAAAGCGAGAAACAGAGAGGGGGAGCTGGAGAAGGCAAACAAGATACAGATACATCTGTGCATGTGTGCAAAGTGTGTGGGGGAAATGATGGGAGGGGGAGGGGAGGGGAGTGGGGGCGCCCAGTGCAACTTCAACTTTGCATTGGTCCGCCATTTTGTAAGCGATTTCGCTGGCGCAGATACAAAGATATAATCATAACAGAGACAAAAAAATTAGTTTCAATTTTATTCAGTCGTAACAAAATAAGTATTAAAAGTCAAAAAATTTCATTAAAAAAATCTTTATGATGAATATAAATTGGGATACATGAATCAGCTATACTTAAGTGTTTTTAAGAAACAATAAAAATATGTAATTGGTCACTTAAGTCGAAACTTCTAAGATAAAAGTGCTGAATTTCTGTATTGATTGCGACTTTGTTTTAATAGAAACCCCTTATTTAAATCAATTTTCTCCTGTGTAGTGGACTTCATATCTTTGGGGCGTATGTATATAAAACTAATGTTTGCAACGATCGTTTGTGTCCCATGCTTGTTCTCCCGGGTGACAGTCGGCCCATGTTTGTGTACTGAAGTCGTTGCAGATCCGGCGATATAGATACATATGCTATCCATGTAGCGCGCAGATACAAAATGCGTTAGCTATAAATAGCGAACCAAGGGCCATGCCATTTGTGCCGCCAGCGCCACTCGAGCGTGGCGGTTGCAGTTGCAGTTTGCCGTTGAATGCACATGTGGAAATTCGGTAAATGAAAATGGAAAGCCGACGACCACGCCCCCGACAAAAAGTACAGGCTAGCCTAGCCATTTATTTAGAGCGGCGCATGGGGTGCATTTTCCACGATGTTTTCACCAAAAACTCGCTCACAGAAAACACACAGATACACGCAATTCGAATTTTATTTTTAGCAATTTGAGGGAAAATTTCAAGTCGAGCGTTGTGAATTTTCTGTTCGAATTTATACGGCCACG